TACAGTGCTTACTGTGCAGTGCAAGGCAGAAAATACAGTTAAAAATTATACAAAAATCCAAACAAATATGATCAAACATAAGTTGGATAATACTTTGAAACGTTCAAGGCCCTTTTGCCTCTTAACATGAAATTACATTATTATGTGGTGATCAAGGACAATAGCAACTGCCTCGCTTTGCCTTCTAAATAACGTTCATTATTATTATTATTATCAAAACAATGTGAAGATTCATGCCTTTTCAATTCATGTGAGAAAGTCTGAAAGAAGAAGCATTTACACCCCAAAAATGTTAAGAGTACTCATAACATTTACACCAAAAGCCAATGACAATGAGAAAGCTGAAGTCCTTATACCTAGTGGTATGAATGAAGTATGTTGTATGGCTTTTTTTGGCACAACAAACCTTCTGAAGTTATAAAGTAGCTTAAATAATCAGAGCTTTTCCAACCAAAATGCATTAAAAGCATTTAAAATGAGAGTAATACACCACCAGCAAATAAACACATGTACCGGGTATATATGATATATCACAAAAGTTCTATATACATGTATATATATATATATATATACTGTATACACAAATTTTATAACATGTTTCATTCATGTCATACATTTACTGAAATATTGATTACGGTAAGAAATCAAGAATAAGAAATGAAATTATTTCCACTTGAACCTTCTAATGAATGTACCTACTTTCTAATATAGAAACCTCTAATTGTCACAGTTTACATTAAATAGACATCAGATATACAAGTACATGTAATGTATATTGAAATCTTATTAATAAAAAGATATTTACTATAAAATTTACAATTTACTAGACATTTGATCAAGGAACTATTATGCATTAAGAAGGCTTACCTTTTTTCACATTATAGTTTTAGCAATATCATTTTTGAACACTTCAAACATACAGGATATTTGTTATTGACAGTACCCTTCATCGCAGGAAAATTATGTTGCAATCTGACAGTGATGGTAATACACATGCCCCACTTTTGTAATGCTTCATGACTCATTTATACATTTTAAAAATCATAAAAAGACTATCCATACTCTACCTAAGTTCTCCACTGCACAATGTTCCATGCATATTTTATTTATGACAGTAAAATCTATAAATTCATGAGATGCAAATATACGTTACACTGCATATACAAAATGTAATTCCGCTACTTGCACTTGGAAAGTGTCCAAAAAGATACACACCAGGGGGGTGTTTCACAAAGATCCGAAGTCGAACTTAACTCTAAGTTGGACTTAAACATTATGGAGAGCCATTTGTAGCCTTAAAATAAAATATATTCAAAAGCAAAAATTCAAGTATTGTAGACTTTTCATAAATTCCACATCAAGAACATGAAATGTCCTTGATAAAAGAAAACATGAAAGATTTGAATCAACGTTTTATGCCAGTTTTAAAATAGCTTTATTTTCGAAGATGCTCAGAGCTTTCCATAATTGTTAGGTCCAACTTGGAGTTAAGTTCCGCTTAGTATCTTTGTGAAACGACCCCCAGAGCTGCCAACTTTCACAAGAGCATTTTTTCCCCAACGGCTGAAAATTACTACTTTGTTGAGGGTACCACTATTTCTGTAATGAAAAGAATACAACATCGCAGAAACTGGGCCGGTATTCAATTCAATATCTAAACCAGAAATATGAGTATTTCACTCAGATAAAAAAAACTTAGATAAAATACTTACTGGTAGCCAACTTCAGTATTCGTTTGATGCTTCTGGCTAAGTATTTTACCCTAAATTAAAAGACAGCTCGCTAGCAGACTCAAGCCAATTATTTTGGAAGCATTGATTGGTCATCATAAGCTGCGCACAATAATATTAGCGCACACTTAATACGACGCATAAATTGTGCATTATTTTTGTTTGACCGTGTGATATCACAATGCTTATCAGTAGGTATTTTGGCATAAGTTTGCTTGCAAAAGTTAATTGCTTAAATGTGATCTGAATACAAGTCAAGACATTTTACTTAGCTAAGCCAAAGTAAAGAATAAGTTTTACTCATACAAAGTATCACATTGAATACTGTACCTTGATCTTCAGAATTGGGATTTCTGTAACAAACCATTCATATTCTCTAATTTCGGTACAAAATACAGAAAGTCCGTACTTCTTGGTTGCTCTTCAAAAGCAAAGTTTGAAGAATCGTCGTAATCTCCATGCAAGTGCAAGGTTATATGCTCAAGGCCCTGTTTTGCTCGTTCGAATTTCATGAACTTTTTAGCTGGAAGAAAGTCAGCTTGGCCTCGTCTCTCCGCAGGTTCGTGATGTTATAAACGTTACCTGAAATGACGGGAAGAACAAACAAACAAAACCATCAAAATACAGTAAACCTTACCTGTGTATAAGAACCACTCAAGGGTAATAAGGATGGTGATTTTTATAGCAAATACAAATAATTTCTAGCATATAATAAAAAAAAAAAGCAGCTCTAGTTATTTACAGGTTGAGCGTATACTATAGCCTTGAAAATCCATCTAGTAAAACACATAAAGTGATTACAGATTACTTTGTTTGTGTCATATTTCGTTCAAAACTTTCACCAGTTTGCTTCTCTGATTTTTCTTCTGTCTTTTAGAGCATTTTTTCCCCTAAAGCCCATCTGTACTAGTATAACCAGGAGGGATTAGACCACCCAGCATGGTCACTGACAGGTGGTTATCTCATCAACTCAGCTCTCAACTAACATAAGAAAAAGACGATCATGGGGGACCAACGGGCACCGCTTAGGCATTGTTTTCTATAAAGAGGGAGCAAGTAGCTACAAGTAGTGTAGTGGGGCTTTAAGCAGTTTGCTGCCTAATGTCTATGCAAGGCTTGTAAAAAGCGCACAATGCGAACAAGGATAAATATTCACCTTTAGGAACAAAGAACCAGTCTCCACTCTGTAATATCTGGCTCGTCTCGTGAAGGGTCATGGCAACTTTGCCTCGAACAACATAGAATATCATCGTGTCACGTCGTACAAGCTGGGATCCTTTCTCCCCAAAAGGCCGGATAGTCAGAATGCCTGAATGGAAAATAAAAGATTAAAATGTATCTTTGTTCACCACACTTACACAAGTAGGTAAATTAACCAAAAACAGACCTATACATACAATAACCTTTTCATTTTTCATTTGAAATAATTCATGTTTGTAATGTTTTATTGCTTGATTAGCTTGTTTGTTTTTACATTCTTAAATAGTGTTTCGCTAAGAATACAGGGATGACATAAAGGGCCTAAAAGAATTCCCCTCCACAAAACAGGAAAATATAAGTACATATTTCATTTATTAATTTAATTCATTCCAATATTTATGTAGGAACACAAGATCAGTATGTTACTATTTCCATCTGATATCAGAACTATGAACAATAATGGAATGGTAAAAAATAGTTAAAGTTAACATAATAACAAGTAAAAGTAGAAATTAGACCCATTTCATGAAGCTCATTAAGTTATTATCAATAACAAATAACAATAATTGTTATAATAAGCTACTGAAATATTGAATTTGAGTTGCTGTGAGCAAAATTGAAATAGAAATGTGACATTTGTTGTAGATAACAATAAAGAGGGCCCTGGTTTACCTGCTGCAAAGGCTTTCTGTGAAAGAGCCTTTGAGATGGTGATAGCATCATCTGGTTTAGCAGGCAAGCCACTGGGACCAGTGAACTTGAGCATCTTGGATGTAGCCACAGCATCTAATAGGTACAAAGAAATGTATCATGGATTATTCTTTGACTGCACAAGAACACAGAGGCTACGTTTTGTCTTGAATTCACATGCAAAAAAGGGTGATGAGAGAAAACTTGAGAGAAATGAATAGTTGGAGGAGGCAGTCAGGCCCCTCAGACAAGGAGCGATAAAAATTATGAGACCTGGGGAGTGTTTCTCAAAGATTAAGATCGACTTTAAGTTGGACTTAACTGTGGCAGGCCATTCATGCCACTATTTACTCTCACCATTATGATCTTTAAATAATATTTTTTCCTTCAATAATGAATTATCAAAATACATAAATTCTGTAGATTTGTGACCATGATTTGTATGTTCCTTGAGAGACAAATGCCAGTAAATGGTGAGAAAAACAGTGGCATGAACGGCCTGCCATACTTAAGTCCAACTTAAAGCCTATGTTAGTCTTTGTGAAACACCACCCTGGGCCCTATCTTACAAAGAGTTGCAAGTCCTCCAATCAATTGCAAGATTGCAGTCTCCTATCTTTTATGTACATAGTTGCAATTGATATCAACTCTTTATAAGATGGAGCATCTTCTGATGAATAGGGGGAAACAGTTCTCAGCTTCAAAGTGTATCATATATACAAACAATATCATGAAGCTTGGCATACAGATTGGACATTGAAGTTTAATATTCCTAGCTGAAACACAGTACATGAATTGTCACGAATGAATCATACTGTACATCTGTTTTTGCAATTTCTTTTATTTTGTGGAATAACCGATGGCTGAATTATAAATATTCAGTGTCAAAAGATAGGAGAGCCTTGACATGAAAGCTTACAGCATTATAGGTTTTCCTAACAAGCATTATAAGCAGAGGAAGGATTAAGCAAATGATAATCGATGCCTGTCTACTAGAGCACTACCTACGCACTGCCTTTTAATCAAACTTGGAAATTTACAACACTACTGAAATATGAAGAATTGTAAGATGATGACATGGATCCTAATCAAATGATTGGTTGAGAGCATACACGTGACCAGGCATTTATTTTGCCTAATGCGTAATTTGAATAATGACCGGTCATTATCAAAATCATGTTATAAAACATCATTTTATAAAACAAATAAAACATAATCTTATAAAACAAATAATAAACAGCATTTTGTTTGGGAATTAGTAAAATTACCCACACTCGGTACCTTCAAGTTAGACTGTTCCAAAGGTACCTCGTGTGGGTAATTCTTACTAATGCCCTCAATACTGTGTATTATTTGTATACTCACCAATAGCGACTTCTTGCTTGGTGTCAGGGTTGACTACATTGATGGTGGGTTGGCAGACTTTACTGGTCCCTACGGGAGGTGACGCATGGATTGAGATGTGAGAGGGCGTCACTGGCAGGTGACCTTTGGCTGAAAATAAAATATTTAAAGGGATTGGGTAACTTTTTCTCAGATTCTGAACAAAATCCTGGATTTAGCTCATTGTGCAATGATAATTGTTAACCTTTAGGTCAGTCAGGAACCCCATGAATTTTACAAGCCGATCGTCTGTCTGATTATCAAGATGAAAATCAAAATCAAAATCAAATTTTGAGTTTTCCTAAGGGGCCATTAATCTCAGATTTAACATTGTTAAACGATGCCTTTAAGATTCATGTTATATCATCCATATTTGGTATCAGGGTAGACTACATTGATGGTGGGTTGGCAGACTTTACTGGTCTTAAAGAGAGGTGATAAATTGACCCCCCTCCCCCTTAAAATACTGCAACTTTCATTAAATGTTTAACATTTAAATCTTTATTTTATTTCATTTTTTTCCCTGTTCTACAGCATGTATTCCATCTTTTAGAGAAACAATATACTGGTAAATTAACACTGCAGAGAGATATATATTACAGAAAGGTGACCACAAAGACAGGTTTAACTTTTAACAGTGAACCCTTGCAAAGGACTACACAAGTCTCCTTCCTAGTAACACTTACGTTTAGCTGGTTGCCTCATAGACCTCACAGACACTCTCTCCTCTGGTGCTCCGGGAGAGATGATACCAGCCAGAGCAAGCCCCCTGACTTCCGACGTTCGTAGAGTGGACGTTCGTTACGCCAGTACTCTAGAGGGCGCACTCTCTGTCGTCTCGTCCGTCTGACTCCATCTTCCTCATCAGGTTTGACTATAGGAGGGAAATCAGTGTCAAAATTAGGTCATTTATCATTGGAAATAAGTAAATCAGGGATGCCAGTTAGAATTGAACAGAAGGGCCTAAAAATTACCTAGAATGAGCTTTTTATACACAAAAAGCCTTAAGTATGGTCTGAAAATAACTCACATGGGCCTGAATTCAGGCTATTGCCTGAAAACTGGCATCCCTAGTTAATGTAACATTCAAGAATGATTTCCCCGTCTAAGGCCATATTTTCCTGAGACATGTACTGGTAGCCTGAAGCTAGCTGCCAGTTTTCTTTAGTTGAAAAAAGGATAACAAAATGTGTGGATATTACAACAATAGCGATGGTGTATTCCTAGCCCATTGCTTACTAGCTTTGAGCTACAGTGTATGCAGCGTGAATGATAATTTGTATGCATTGGGTTAAAAAAAAAAAAATTATAAACATTTTTAAATTTGAAAGTGTTCGGTTGTTCCAAAGAATAAACCTTGTGAAAGAAGCTACAGTGTTTGTTTTTGGATACGATTAAACACTTACTGATATAAGCCTTCCGGAGTGGCTTCTCTGTGTAGAGGATGGAATATTTATTCTTCTTGTTCTTGGGTCTCTTATCCCAGTTCCTGCTGACTTTCAGGATAGACCCTGTGGACGTTATTGACCTTGCTCCACTGCTGGACGTGCTTGGGGACTTGCCAGGGGGGGTTGGACCCTTGGGGGACTGGTCAGTGGGCTGGTCAGTGGACTGGTCAATGGACTGGTCGGATTGATTTTGGTTTGCATCATGGTGATCAACCGAGACTTGGGTAGTATCAGTATGATCCTCAGCTGTAAGCAAAAGATTATAAAAATAAACATTGAAGACTGCTGTACTAATAACATGTATACAAGGACCACTGTCTATACCAAACAGAGTTTTGAAGTCGAATCTATCCTGATAATTAATCTTTAAATAAAACCACCTGCCAATAAATAAAGCTGTTCTCACCTTCCTTGAGCAGTCTGTACATAGAGATTAACATGTACATGGTAAATGGGAACAACATTAATTGTTAAAAGATTACACTCAGTTTGAAAGGGGCAAGGTGCACTGTTGCATAATTACAAAATCAATAATAGGGGGTAGGAAGACAATTGTTGAACAATTAGAAAGTCTAGGTGACAGAAGAATGCTGATGATCCTAGATCCCACTCATTATGTTTCACAGGCTACTCTCCTTAAATGAGAAGGATACCCTTCCCTTACTGTTCCCTATTGTGTCAGGTTCAAGTCTAGTCCCACTAGACAATAATGACTTACTATGTTGGATACTGTCGTGCCAGTACTCTCGAGGGGGTGCTCTGTGACGTTTCGTCCGTCTGACCCCATCTTCCTCATCAGTTTTGACTACAAGAAGGAAATCATTTGTCATAATTAGGTCATTCATCATAAGAAATGATTTAATTACACATCCAAAAATTATTGACAGTTTCAAAGTCGAAGGTCAAATGCCTTCCCCAGACATGTACAGCTAGACTGAAGCTAGCTGTCACTTTGTTATTGATTGCTAAAGGATGCTATTTTGACGATCGCCATGTTGTAGATGTCTGATAACTGTTATGAGGGGGTAGGAGGATAATTGTTGAACAATTAGAAAGTCTAGATGACAGTAGACAGATAATCCTTGATCCCACCCTATTGTGTTTTACAGGCCACTCTCCTTTTAATGAGAACGATCCTCTTCACACACTGTTCCCTATTGGTTCCTGTTCAAGTCTAGTTTCTATAAACAATAATCCTCTGTATATCCAACACCACTTGTATAGTGTGATGCTCTTCTTTCAATGACATCACAAAGTCTGGTTATCCTGCTTTCCCCATCCTCAGTGGAAAACCCTTACAATTTCTTTCTTTCAATAGACAGTTCAAGGATATGATGAATGTCCTGTTTCAGTGTAGCTATCCTACACAAACTTCTATTTTTCATCTACTGTATGATCAAATTTCAAGGTTAATTCAAAGCAAAATTCTTCCCACATCAAAATTCATTACCAGACTTCAAGAGTGTAACTTTCAATTTTCACAACAACACTATATTTAATACTATAAAGTAAAACATTTCCTGGCCAAAACTAGTGAAGTTAAAAAATGGCCCACAAAAAAATTAAATATTTGTTTTTTTGTTTCACCATGCCAAGACTTACGAGAACCTTCAGAGGTTGTGGAGGTTGCATCCGAAGACTGCCGCTTTGACGGTTTCTTTCGGTTTCCCTTCTTCCTTCCTCTCCTACTTTGTCCTTGATCAGCTGTCTCTCGATCACTCTCTGCTGTGCTTTCATGCGATGACTGACCACTCAGATGTTCTTCCACGTTTCTGGTCTCATCCTCTTTCGCCTCGTCCCGCGTCTTGGCACGGCCGCCGCTTGATCTCCCCTTAGACGATCTTCTGGACTTCTTGTGGTCCTTTGAGAGAGTAGCTGTAGTAGGTGGAACCTTCTGGTTGTCTGAAGATTTGTCCTCAGCGCTCGAGACTTGATGGATGCTAATGTCTCCACCGACAGAGATCATGTCCTTGGTGGTAAAGTGGACACTGCTCCGACGTGACCTGAACGCACTGGAGCTAGACCCAGCCTTGCCTGTCGAGGATCCATCCTCATCGACCCCTAGGGTTTCGTCACTGGCTGTCTTAGAACTGTTGGTGGCCTCTGAGGGATGATCGGAGGGTTTCTTTTGTCGTCGTTTTCTCTGATTCTTTTGTGGAAGATCAACACCAGCAGCTTGGTCATCATCGACCTGTGAGCCAGCATCTGCATCAGAAGAGCTAGCCTTCTGATTGGAGGGTTTCTTTTGTCGTGGTTTTCTCTGATTCTTTTGTGGAAGATCCACAGCAGCAGCTTGGTCATCATCGACCTGTGAGCCAGCATCTGCATCGGAAGAGCTAGCCTGGGATGTGCTCTCAGAAGACCTTTGGCTCCTTTGTAATTGTTTTTTCTGTTGGTTAGACTTCTTTCCTCTGTTCTTCTTGCCTCCCATCACTAGTTTGGAGTCATGCCCATCTCCACTTATACTCTCTTCAGGACTTTCCTTTAATTTCTTTTGATCATCATTCCTGCCGATTTCCGATCCTCTTTTACTTGCCTTTTTCTTCTGTACTTTCCCCATTTTGCTCTCCTGTTTATCCTTCTGGGTCGGTCTCCTTGTGGATTTCGGTAACTTTTCTGGCTTTTCTTTTTGTACCATTTCCTTATCATTTTTCTTACCTCCTTTTGCAATAGTTTTTCTATTTGTTCTCCCTGATTTTTTGCGATTTCCTTTCTGTGTGTCATCCAATAGGCCATATTCTTGCGAATCGGCATCAGCAAATTCAAATTCATCTTCCGCCTCAAGAACTGATGGAACTGCAAAACTTGCTCTTAAAGAAAAGAAGACTTTCTCTGTGTCATCATCATCTTCATCTTCAACAACATCAGATTTTGATGCCAGAACAGTTTTGTCCTTTTGCTTAATAGCCTTTCCAACGTTCTCCTCTTCTGTGTCCACTGCCTCCTCCGATTCTGGTTCTTCAATATTTCTTTCTCCTTCTTCTTCTTCTGTTTCTGTAACAATCTCATCTTCTGTTTCTGTCTCTAAAACTTCCTCTTCCTTGGTTCCTTCAACCTTCTCTCCTTCTATCTCTCCAGCAGTTTCTGCATCTGTCTCTGGAGCTACCTCATCTTCCGGTCCTTCATCCTCCTCTTCTCCACCCTTCTCTTCTTCAACCCCTTTTCCAGGAGGGGCATTTGATTGCTGTTTACTTTTACGTCTTGACTTGACCACTTCTGTTTCTTTCTCGACATCGTCTTTAAGATCTTCCACTCCCTTTGACCGACGGATACTTCTATCGTGGATTCTCTTGATCTCCCTTTCTAATCTGCTTGACTGATGAGGACTCTTTCTGAGATTTGATGTTACATCATCTGTTTCCTTATCTCCGACTATGTCTTCTTGCACGTCTTTTATTGATACGTTTGACTGACGAGTACTTTTGCTGCGTCTTGTACCTCCAGCTCTCTCTTCCTGCTTCTCTAACTCCATCTCAGTATCACTTCCTTTATTTATGCTCATGTTTGAAGGTTTTAAACTTCTGCTTCGTCTGGAACCGTTTTGCGTATTTGTGTCAATCTCTATGTCATCCACGGCATCATTAACTTTTGACTGACGAGTACTTTTCCTGCGTCTCGTACCTCCAGCTTTCTCTTCTTGTTTCTCTAAATCTATTTCAATATCATTTCCTTTATTTACGCTCACGTTTGAAGGCTTTATACTTCTGCTCCGTCTGGAACTGTTTTTAATATTTGTGTCAATCTCTTTGTCATTCACGGCATCTTTATCAACTTTTCCTTCATTCGCTTTTGACTGTCGAGTACTTTTTCTACGTCTTGTATCAGCACCTTTCTTTGCTGACTTCTCGTTATCCTTCTGAAGCTCGTTTTCATTTAGCACACTTGCATTTGATTGTCGAGTGCTTCTCCTGCCTCTTGTTTCTACTGCTTTCACTGCTTCTCTCCCTACTTCTCTTTCATCCATTTCTTCATTTTCTACAAAGTTCTTTGACTGAGATATACTCTTTCTGCTTCTCGTCTCCCTGGGGACTGGGCCACTTAGGTCACCATCAGGCCGGGTTGATCGCCTCTTGCTCCCTCTGGTCTGTGCAGTAGTACCCTGTTCGCTTGATGAAGTGGTTTCGGCCTGAGGCTCAGGTACCTCTTCTTGAGGTGATGATGGTTCACTGGTTGTCTGGCTACTCTGCTGGTCATCACTGCAATAAGGAAAAAGATAATGAAATTACAAAACTTATTCACTGACACCTTTCATCCTAAACCATGTCTACGCTGTAAGCTCATTTAAAATCCTAAACATGATTTCAAAGGCATGATCTTGATTTGTTAGCATGTGATAAATAATAAGTCTATGAGCTTAAGGGGTAACAAGATTCTGGGACAACTGCTCAATTGACTTTCACCCTTAAAAAAACTATCCCCTAAACCTTTCACGATAATCCTTCCGCATTGTGTGGTTTGGTTCAATTACTTTTGATTCAGAGCCCTACAAAAATATACCAGGGGGGTGTTTCACAAAGATCCTAAGTAGAACTTAACACTAAGTTTGACTTAAAAATTATGGACAGCCATTGGAGCCTTAAAATGAAATATACTCAAAAGCAGAAATTCAAGTATTTTAGACATTTTATAAATTCCACAACAAGAATATGAAATCTCCTTAATGATAGAAAATATGAATGATTTGAATAAACATTTTATGCCTTTCAAAAATATTTTTACCAAATATTTCAAAGATGCTAATGGCTTTCCATAATATTTAAGTCCAACTTAGAGTTAATTTCTACTTAGAATCTTTGAGAAACACTCCCCAGATGCACGAGAAGAAAGGGCAAAAATGTCTCAGAACCGATCTCATCAAAAATGTTGTTGCATCCTTGCATGACTATATTACCTTTAATGCTTGGAATTTCAAAAAGGAAATAAGCTCCAAAAATCATTGGCAACACATAGAGAGGTCTAAAATCATTGTTTTTCGATCAAAATTTGTCACTTTTTCCAACTTTTCAGCAAGGATCCTACCCATGTATTTGTGTTGGTGGTTATTTTACCTGGCTGCTAGGAAAGCATAAATGCTTGTAAGTAAGCAACCAGACGACCGACGACTTGAGGAACCTGGTAATGAGGATTAATGCCTTACCAAAGGGCACTAGTGCATCGACTTGGTTTCGAACCCGGGTCACCGGGTTATGATACCACTGCTCTACCAACTGAGCTATCGCGCCTCCTCTTTACAGTGATATTACAAAAATGTAGTAACACACAAAAATACATTTTTGTTGCCAATTTGAAGAGCGAGATATGATCAATTAAGCTCTTTAATAAATCCTGTTGTGGAAGGGCTAACTACCCTCTGGCAACTATCCCATGCATGTGGATGCCCTAATTACTCCCCATATAGTTTTTAAAGGGTAAATTTTAAAAGGACAGATCTCCATGGAAATTGGTCCTTTAATTAGGGTTACTTGTGATGGGTTCATAGCTCTGAGGAGCAGTCACCCTGCTACAGGTTACACATATATTTATATGGATGGTGGCAGTGGAATGAGTTCCTTAAAATTCTCCACTAGTTATGATGGTATTTATGATTTTAGAATTCCTAATATTCTATTTTAAATGGACATTTTATTTACCTTATTTTCTTTGCTAATTCCCCCTTTAATTTTAAGTCAAAAGCAGAACACACTAAACGTAAAGGGGTAGGGGGCAGACCTCATTTTTTCTTCATAGGATTAATGTTCTGCCAAAGCTCTGGATTGAATTCCAAATATTCTCAATACTCACTGTTCGACAGGCCCGCTTGCATCATCCTCTTCAGTCTCTGTCTGTCCATCCCCTTCTTCTTGACTGAGTTCCGACTGGCTGGAAGGGGCTTTGACAGTTCCTTCAGAGGATGATCCACTCTCCTGGCTCTCTCTTTCATCCCCGACACTATCTTCACCTTCACTGGTTTGGCTCTCTTCGGAAGTGGTGGCCTCTGAAAAACTTAGCCTGCAATGTATAATGTATGAAATGAAATTGCTTTTGAAAATATACTTCTACTCTGAGAAAAGAAAATGGTGGATAACATAATATTACCTGATCACTACATTTATGAAAAGAATGAGAACCTATAGTTGAAGATTTTGGTGCGGTTTCAAAATCACTTATTATTTCTTATGTTGATACTCGTTTCACTTGCATTGGAAGAAAGGGAAGATTTTGTGTTTGTGTTTGTCAGTTGATTTGCACTCGGTAGAGGTTTCATAAAAAATAGAAACGACATTTGTCTACATGTATAACTGAAATGGTCTTTCTAGTGCTGGGCCTTTTTCCACTTAGACTAGTCATGCGTTACACATGCCTCTCCTCATCCAACAGTGGCAAATTTCACAATACTTGGTCCATAGAGAACTTCTGGGACCTGTTTCACAAAACTTGTCATCAGTGACAAATGACAGTCTTTGTTATAAGCTACTGAAATCATTGCTTCTGATTGGTTATCAGCAGATTTGTCACTGAATTTTTGTCATTTGTCATTGAAAAAAGGCTTTGCGAAATGGGTCTCTGGTAAATACCATGAGGGACCTACCTCTGCCTGGTCTTGAATTTACTCAAGGCTGACGAGGGTTCCAGGCCGGGGGCTGGTCCCTTGATGATGCTGCCAGTGATATCAGCCTCAAGAGCTGAAGCATTCTCTGCAGCTTGTGAGACGTCCTGTGGCAGTTCAACCTTGCTTGCCTCTCGATCTGAGCTTGCTTCTTGAGGGGTGAACGATGGCATAGACCTCAGCGATCGCTGCAAGTGAAAAACAAAGTGCTAGGTAATGCTCACTGTTGCTGAGTATTCATTGGAGTTTTTATATAATCATTGCAAGCCATTATCTGTGCATAACTTTTTTTTTTCCAACAGAAGTATTGATCAGATTTTATATCAATATCAGAACCTTGGTCATTCATTGTGTATGTCGACAAGAAGTCAACAACTAGACTTACTTACAATGTACATCCTTACTTCAGAGATATTTTCTATGTTCTAAGGACAGCATCACTGCTTTGAGTACTGCTCATTTGGTTACAGTGAGATTATAGTGCTTAAAGTGTTCCATATGACATATATTTATTTCAAAATCGAAGCACAACTTACATTGAGCTCACTGACCCTATACTGTGAGGACTCTTATGTCATTCGAGATAGCACTGCTACAGCCTGTTGTCATTTAATGTCTTGCTTTACCTATACTTTCCTTGCAATGAATCAAAGAGCATTTTCATTTTTTACAAGATTCGTTCCTTTAGCTTCAGCTAAGATGAGAGCAAGACAAAGAATGTTTGGTCTGTCTGTTTTGTTACTATGCTTCGATATATTCATTTAATTTCTCACAAAAACGGTACAAAATGGGCAATTTTTATGATAAGAAAATGGACAATACTTCCACGCCTCAACCAAAACAACAGTTTTACAAAATAATTACCTTTTTCATAGTACCGTCTTTATTTTCCTTCTCTGCTGCTAATGTAGTGTGCATGGTAGCATCATTCTCTGCAGAAAATGGATAAAAAAATCTTTCATGAGTAATGAATACACAGAAATGTACTACTAAGTAATACAACCGTCACAAGAAATTATATTATTCATTTTTCATCATATAATTTCCTGTTAAGTTAGTACTACTGAGATACTGTAGCATGGTTAATACGCTTCCTGTGCCATCTTGTTTTGCACTGATTTATTTACTGAAACTGCTTGCAGCACATCTAATATGAATGGAATACACTACTGCCTGTAAAATACCTCATACATGAATCTAAATTTGTATTATTTCATATTAAATCATAAAAATGCTTATATAGATCTCTAAGAAAACTCTGTCAATTTTCTTTAAATAGTGAGCAGAGAGTTCCATCTTAATATGGTCCCCATGCAATTTGGGCACTAGTTTTTCATGGGGAGGAGAATTGGCTTTGCATTAAAAAAAAAAATTGTTATCAATTTTGTAGCCTACCGATATATCTAATGATGCAATGTGATTGGAATAAAAAGAACTGACATTGGGGGTTCGCGAGAAATAAATTGTGTTTAGGAATTGCTCGGAACATGAGGTACATACTTACCGCTCTCTGACCAGTAGTCATCAAAGACTTCAAAGCCATCGCTGTCTTTCCTCACATCTTTTTTCACTACAATGCCAGTCCGCCTGTATCAAGAACAAAGATTGTTTAACACTCTCATTAATACCAAAGACGATTTTGAAGTTGTATGATGGTTTGTTTTTACCCTACTGTTAAGAAAGCATGTATATCCTTGTATGCAAGCAAGGGGACTGACGACTTTAAGTCCTCTCTGGGGGACTTTAAACTTAGTAATGAGGATTAACGCCTTACCAAAGGGCACGACTGCATCAACCTGGTTTGGAATCCAGGACCTCCCGGTAATGAGACCATTGCCCTAACACGGAGCCATCACATGACTGTTTATAATAAAAATTTATTTCCTTCTTTTCCATAGCAATTTCAAGAGAAAGCCGGCAGTTGTTGAGTCATACAGTTACATGTACATAGTATAGAACGCTAGAAAGTGCAGTTACAAATTATACAAACCAAGCCTGATACAAACATTAAGGTTTGGAATGATTGAGAACTGAACAACAGAACAAGTTTAGGACAAAAACCATACGGTAAGTAAAATTAATATAAGATAGCAGGTGAAATACTAACAATGCAGTACATACAAATCACTTTGGGGAAATCAAACTTTTACAACTATACAATAATTATAAATATAATTTTACACTTCATAATTGCGATGCTCCTTTTATTAGTATATTTACCTGCCAACACCGTCTTGGTAGAAAGGGTTGACAAAAACCTGTGAAAACAAGAAATTAGACAAATTAGTAATATTTGACATACTGACAGTATAATGATTTAACAAATTATATAAGTATCAACAAAGTCTAAGTGTATGTCTGGACAAATGTTTTAAAGCCATGTATAGAGCGGTATGTTTCTGGAACTGAAATCTAAGATAAATCATACCAAAGATGAGAATAAAGTCTGGAACTCTGGATCACTACAAGCAGTTTTTTTACATGATGTAGGCAGATCAGAGAGCCAATTTGTCACTAGCCCAACTTTTTTTAAACAATTCAATTGTTCACAACTTCACACCACACTTCTTCACTAGGTCAAAAGTTCCAACTCATAAACTCATGTCATGGTATAAGATTAGAAGAGAGGCACAGCCAATATGGGACTTTATGGGAGACCATCGCATTGTTTTACGAAACTGTCATTAATAGTACAAGTTCACCGACATCCCATTGTGGCATTGAAACACTATTACATTCAATACACACGTAGAATTATGCATTCAATATATTTGTTTAATTTCGTTTATTATCTGTATAAAATTATATACACTTAAAATATTGTTTCAAATCATATTATGTTCATGAAAATGTATGATGAAAAAAAAGAAAAAAAGATGCAGAAACCAATAAATCTAATCAAACTCTCAATCAATGGCCTAAATGGGTTGTCGGCAAAAATATACTCATGACGGTTTTGTGAAACGCTGCCCTGCTCTACATCTGACTCCACCGACTGCCTCTATACAGAGACCAAATTGTGTTGTACAGGTTAGTGAGGGAAATTTATGCAATGCAATTTGCCGATCTCTTGTATAGTAAATACTGTTACTAATTGTGTGCAACACGTAGAACTTATCCGGTCTCAGCCTCTTTTTCCTAAATTGGCGCCTACAAGGACCCTTCTGATTGGCTATCGTATAACTAAAACATACCAAAAACTAAATCTTCATCAATTGTTCAAATAATGGTCATGATTTGATTTAAAATCGTTATGCTTCTTACCTGTTTTTTTTTTTTTTTTAGTATTTTTCCTATAAACAAAAACTTATAATAGATCTAGACTTATACTATACACTTTTTCACGGGATTCACGACAAACTGCTGCACAAAACAATTACATACCGTACCCAACGGTGGGGTGCGGGCATGCGCGTGCATGAAGTTAGCGATCGTAATGATGAATTACTCACATGAATTTAATGAGATTACAGTCGCTAACTTCAGTTGCGGCCGCACCTCTCGTCGATACGTTATAAAGGTTACAGTATGCAATTGTACTGTGCAGGTGTTTGCCGAGAAACCTGTGAGAAACTGAAAGTGTTCTTCGTTTTGGGGAGAAATACTTCAAAAAAATGATAAGCAAATGGACATGAAACAGGTACGTATAACGTAAGAAACATTATTTGACTTCCTCGTAAGTAAAAGAAAAATAGAGTAGACTCTAGGTCTAATGTTATGTGATCACTGAATAGATCGAACTTTAAGAAGTCTACAGTACTGATCAGTGAACACGCTTCCAAATTGCAATGTCTATGAATCATACTCGTTCACAAATCATCCACACACTTAATTTTAAAAGTATGGATATGATTCTGAATTAGTGCCGGATGATGTATCACTATAGTATCAGTTTAGATCAAGATCTTAACAACAAACATCACAATCACACTGATTCTTATCTCACAATGAAAAAAGTGCACACAGGAAAAAAAAGGCAGACATGAGTAACCCGCCGAGCACTCTCCCCCAGAGTCCGGGGATGGAGAGCTATCAGACCCCGCTGAACTTCATGCAGCTTTAGTTGTTAGTTATTCATTCTGTTATCGACAATGCAGTAAAAAATAAGACTGCGATTACAGAACGGCCATGTAATGAAAAATGTATCCATATGAACTTAAATCAAATACTTACATTCTTCTTCTTAAATGCCGACATTATTTTGATTTCAATCTTCGTTAGTCATGGAGAAATCCAACGCCAAATTTCACATTATTCAGCTTGTCGATTGGGTTGACGTTTGAATCTTCGCGGCCATATTTTGGATGTGTTCGTTTTTCTTAGATCAGCTCTCACGCGCAACGCGCGCACACGCACGAGACCGACCCGGATAATCTAACCGTAGGATGGATAAGGACATTAGTCTCATAATGCAAACCAAAGACGTTTAAATATTGGGGGCGTCGTCTCGAAAAATTCTAGATTGTTAGATACAGTTATCTGAAGGGGGACAGAGGGGCGCAAAAACGCAACACATAGGTGGGAGCAACCGCGTAAGCAGGGGGGAGGGGGTTAAAAGCCCCCTTGAGTTTTTGTATGTGTATGTTATGTGTATGTTTTCGTGGAAACCCCCCACCACCTTTTGATTTTCCTTTTTTTTTTTAATAAAAAAAATATTAAAATTTAAAAAAAAATTTAAAAAAATCCTTATAGATGACCTAAAAAAGATGACCTTACCCCCCCCCCCCAACAGAACGGAATGTGATTGGGTCAAAATTTCAAATTTTAGGACCCCCACAAAAATAAAAAAATATGTCCTCTTACTCGATCGACGCGATAACTGAATATTGATGATGAAATAACATTAAAAAGAAACAGAAGAGTCCACTTAATTCTGTTCATTCATAGGCATATAGCAACGGGTTGCCCAAAAATCAATCGTCATATTCTTGTTTGTCAGAATTTTTCAGTGCCTTTTAGTTACCTCTTTCAAAATGGCCGAGCAAAGCCGAGTTTACCTTTGCTTTACATCGATTATCATCATTCAATCTATTCTATAACTCTTACTTTTTTCGGGGGGGGGGTTGGAGCATGAACATTTTAAATTGTACTGGAAGTCTGAAAATAGTTTCTTGGGAATTTTCAGATGTTGAGGAATGTGACCCATCATGCAGGGGGTCGCACCGTGACCCATTTCAGGGGAAAAAGCCTACTCTTATCACCAAAAATGTGAACATCAAAATTCAAATAGGTCTATAAAAACAGACTCCACAATTTCAGTTGTTTTATTTTAATCTGCATTTTTACGTTGAATGATTTTCATCATCCTCATTAACTGATCTTTCTAATTCAGCCGATAGCTGCACTATTGAATAGTAAATCACTTATTGACTGCATTTTTAGACTACCGGTAGGAACAACGCCGTACGTGAGAAAACGAATAGGAGTTTGTCTATCCTACGTTTCTTAAAATCTGCGCGCCGCGAGCTAGTTAGCTAGCGAATTCAAAATACTGGCGGCAGATACATGCTTGCTTGCTGACCGTGCTCCAGCCCCACGCTCCTTCGGTCTCTGTACTGTGTCGTCCGGCCGATCCCGTAACTATTCCGCATACACTACAGTCAGTAGCTACTTACTTAGGCAACGTAGCTGTATTCCATCGCCTAATTCTCTGTGTCAGTAAGTGTTGTACTCGTAGTCTAACTCTAGTAAGCCTAACCTTGTCAATTAATTGTTATAAAATCGTGTTAAATCGTAGTTTATTCTAACAAAAGTGACAGACTGAATCAGAATTGAGAGACGTGCAGTGCAGTGCAATTATCGCATGTAAACAAACATGAATAAATTGTGAATGTCAGTCATTGCCCTTGCCCTTGGCCTTGACTATAGGTCCAAATTTGTTAGGGCCTATCTAGACCGTCATAAGTTTTACTTTTTGACTAAATCAGCGTAAGCTAGCTACTTCACCTGTCCGCTACGTGTTTCACAAAGCCCTCTTTCTTTCTTTGCCAAGATCAAAGACAAAATCCCTCCTAGTCCTACAGTAGAGCTAGGCCTAGACCGAAAGCTTCACCGAAATCGACGGTGGTTCCGCTGAGATTGCATCTATGTCAACAAATGTCAGTTTTATTAAAGAAATGACCCATATCAGACGGTTATTTCTGTCTACATCCCTCCTAACTATCCTGATTCCTGACTAATTATAGTGATAGGGTCTACTAGTACTGTAGTTATGATGATGCTTCCGACCCCGTCATATCTCTGTCGAGTCTGTGATCTGTCATAACTTTTTATACCAGCATAGACGTAGACGTAGATGCATGCTGGCAAAAAAGGACAAGAAATCCTCCAGCTTTGGTCTTTCTAGATCTAGGCCTATAGAGTCTAGTAGATCTAGTCTACACAGAATAAAAACAGGGCCAGGGAGTTATTGTTTTCTATAGGCCTATTTGATCATCTTTTGAAAATATGCCATGTTTATAATCTAGAACCCCTGTGTTGCTTTTCCAGTTTACTAAACTGATTATTTATTCATTGTAAAACCCTCAAAGGGTTGGGTAATCTTCCACATGCCACGACCGGCAATTATTTAAGGCAAGCTGTAGTCAAAAGTGTATTCTCTAGTTTTCAGACCCATAGCCCAATATACTACTGGTATAATGACTGCTGGTAATTTCGAGATAAACTCTCAAATGTGTAAACTGAATAGTTTAAAACATGTGTTTTAACGTTCGGAATGTTGAATTTTCATCATTTTAATAATGTGCTGATGCCTAAAACATTAGACAAATCATATTTTTACTAAGAATAATATAGATCTAGGCCTAAGGGTTTATTTTCATAGAATATCAAATGAACAACACTTAATGCATTTTGTATTCATTTTTCCACAGAATGTAACAGCTTTATTTACTTCTAATCTATACGCGATCGAGTCATGAGCTGAACTGAATCTTATATGCAGAATGAATAACGGAAAGAAGCTTAAAGAGACGTTGAAGCGCCTTGATTACCCAGAAGCCCATGAACTGCAAGCAGAGGCGTTTGATTGGTTGTTTGAGAATGACGCCGTAGCACCCTTCTTGGATTGGTTCATTGACAATGTAGGACCAGCCAATGTACTGTCCAAACAGGAAATAGCAGAGTAAATAATGAATGAAGGTCAGGGGGGTGTTTCACAAAGATCCTAAGTAGAACTTAACACTAAGTTGGACTTAAAAATTATGGACAGCCATTGGAGCCTTAAAATGAAATATATTCAAAAGCAGAAATTCAAGTATTTTAGACTTTTTTTTATAAATTCCACATCAAGAGCATGAAATTTCCTTGATGATAGAAAATATGAATGATTTGAATCAACATTTTATGCCTTTCAAAATAACTTTTATAAAATATTTTCAAAGATGCTAACGGCTTTCCATAATTTTTAAGTCCAACTTAGAGATAAGTTCAACTTAGAATGTTTGTGAAACACCCCCCTGGAGATATAAGCTAAGTATTGCCACCATAAAAACTGGCATGGGGAAAAAAAAAGGGGGGGGGGGAGGTAAAATGTTGCAAATCATTTAGTCTGTAAGTGATTTGTAAGTTATCCTTTGAAGCCCATCTGTACTAGTTTGACCAGGAGGGATTAGACGTCCCTGCAAGTTCACTGACAGGTGGTTATCTTATCAAATCAGCTCTCAATTAACATAAGAAAAGGGGATCATGGGGGACCAACAGGCACCGATTAGGCATTTTTTGCTACAGGTATATGTATAGAGGGCGCAAGTAGCTAGAAGTAGTGCCGTGGGGTTATTAAAGCTCTTTTGAAAGAACTCTTATGGGTGTTTTGTTCAATTCCTGAGACATCACTTTGATTTTCCATATTTAATGTCCATCGATATTGTTTTCCTTGAACAATGTACATGTAGGTTTCATACTTTGGAATCTTCTGGGGATGGAGTACTGGAAGGGGAGAAACTGAACACAGCCTTGAGGAGCTCAAATACAGGAGACGAAGATGATCTCTCTCCGGAGAAGCTAAAGTATGTTCATTTTCTGAGAATCGGTGCATAATTCTGTACAATGATACATGTACATGTAGCCTAATTTTCTGCATTTCTTTTAAACTCAATTATTGTAAAAGATTGCATTCAATACAGGATTACATGAAGGATCATTAATGTGTGTCACTTTGACTAGAAACTCATTACTTGACTAAATATGGGGTTAGAATTCATACAGAGCTAGGAGACATGCAAAGCTTATTATAAATATCGTTCAACATTTTGACTCAGTAATCAAAGACCTTCAGTTGAATTAATAGTTTTTCCAAGAATGTAAAACAAAACATTTGTAAAATTTAAAGGAAAAAGATGTGTATTTAGATACATGTAGAGGAAAACAAATATATCAATTTTTCCATAAGAAGATTAATAAAGACACAGGTCTACATGTAAATTAAAAAAACAAAATTATTTGTTTTTACATTTTACACATAACTCTAATATCAATATCAAATTATCAATGTCAAGTGTGTGATTTTAATTTTGTCTTGTTTTTTGTTTGTCTGTTTGTGTGATTTTTAGGGATGATATAGAGGCGATGGAGGAGGAGCTACATAGAGCTCAGAAAAACAGGAAAAGCCTTCTTCAGCTGAGGAACAAATTAAGGTAATCTCCATGGGATATTAGTTTAATCCTATTGGAATCAGAAAAGATGGGCATATATTGCGAATTTGATGACTGGTAGCTACATTGTAGGATGTTGAAGAAGACGATGACTGTATGTAACCACTGTATTACATATTTTATTAAGCTGTTTTGTTTGCTGTATTTATAATATATCTTCTGTTTGGAACCAGGGTCCTGGGGTGGTATTCTGAACCCTGTGTTATCTCTAATCTAATCTCTGGTATTTACAACAATATTTACAACAAGTAGGGGGTTGTTGTATCTTTCGTGGTGATATAACGGCGCCAATATTTCTTGCACAGAACCAACTTTGTGCCAATTGACGAGTTAGAAGAAGATTATGTGTTGACCGGAAACATCACAGATGAGAACTTTCTGAGAAATTAAATGCTAGGATATGATGATTTTAATGCTCTCATCTTAACCAATATAGTGAAAGCGTGATTTGTCTTCATGATCCACATGCCACAGCGCAAATGATGACGCGCGTAGTAAGCGCTCAAATAACTAATTACGCCCAAGATTAGTATGCGCTAGGCGCATCTTCAGATATGGCATAAAGTGTTTCTATTGGTTGACCTACTTATCATGCTTATATAAAACAGATTTTGATTGGTAGGGTCCATACAAATGGGCATGTCAACAGTGGTCAAAGATAAGATAGAGGCGGTCCTTCAAGAGATAACACAGGGATAAAATGATGTTCAGAATACCAACTTACAACAATATTAGCGCTGTGTTATCTCTGGGAGATACAACAAAAGATAACACAAAACTTACAACAATGTTCAGAATACCACCCCTGTTTCATAAAACTTGATATCAATAACAAATGTCTAAAATTATATAAAAAATGCTCTCAGCCAATGAAATGTCATGATTTCAGTAGCTTATAACAGGTATTGTAACTTGTTACTGATAAAAAAATTTATGAAACAGGGCCCTGAATTGTGTTTACTCTTTGTTTAAATGATATGAGTTAACGCCCTTTTGGCTCCAAACAGATGATGCCATGTAAACTTAACCATACAGGTGATTACATGTGATTAGCGGCACAAGGACATGAAGTCGTATTAAAGTATTTCTCAGAAGGTCTGTGTTCATCAGCTTAAGTTTGCAAAATAACCTGCTATTTTCAGACTCTGGATATATTTTGGAAATTAAGACCAAGATTTCTCGGGATATTTTCTCGACCAAATATCCCACTAATTGCAACTGCGGGCTGATGAAGACGCAAATTAACTGCTTATTTGATGATTGGGATTCATGAAAGAGCAGATTATTTGGCAATCTCAAGCTGATGAAGGCAGGCCTAGAGATAGAGGGTAAGTTTAATATAATAGCATGACTGTTTCAATGGCCATAATCCACACATGGTTTTATCATTTTGTTCATTTGCATATTATGCAAACTTTGAATAGGGATGCATGGGGAACAAAGAATACATCACTGAATTTGCTAATGAAATTACATTGATATTGATTTATTCTTCATTTCTTTCACCAGCCTTCATCATACATCCTTGACTCACCAGCTGACCAAGCTCACTCCTGTGGAATCCCATACTGAGAGTCAGTATAAGAACATGCTGGAGAATAGCCAAGAAGACAACTTTAAGGTATCCTTACAAACTGTTTATTCAAAAAGATCAAAAATCAAATTTACTTTGAGGCTCTTGAAGTATCAAGATATCTACAAATTTGTTCACGAGAACGAAATTACTTCAATTAACATGGTACTGGTATTGTTGAATGGCTTCTATTTCCAGATGATAATTCAGTTTCAATTTTCGCAGACATTTTCTTATATTGACCTAATCCATGTTGTCTGTAGTCCCAAATCTGAACCTAAAGTACAACAACATGTCAACCCAAACTTTAATGGCCCACTTCTATGTAAAAACATACAGCCCATAACAAAAGCCTCCAGAACTCTTTATCATTATTCAAGCATGTCTATTTTATTTTTGTGATTTTATTGTCTTATATTGTCTTAATCATGTAGTAATCACATAAAATCCATCATGACAGTAAAGAATTTTATTTTTAAATGTAAACCGATTATAGGTCAACACTTCACTGGATGATCTGAACAAGACCATTACTGAGCTGGTGGCCCTGTCAGCCAAGAGCCTCGATACCCAGCATGCACCATTCATGTCCCAGCAGCCATTGCAAGCATTCCACCAATCAGAGGAGAGCTATACCCAGGCCCTCAAGCAGTTCACAAAGAGACAGTTCTTTGAGGTAAATTTGTGTCGGTGCATTTCACATGTGGATCGAAATGTAGATTGGAAATTGTCTTTTTTGTATGCAGGGAATTTTGCACAACGAGTTGTATAATGATGTGAGGTCTTCTTTCACATCAGAAAATCATCATCATTTGGAGTCTGAAACTAAATGTCTGTAGATTTGATACCACCATATAAGTTTGGTGTAAAAGAAACTTTCACTATACGTGTGTGTATTGAGCAGGCTAGATTTGAAAAAGCTTAATGCCACAAAATGCCAAAAATATTGTCTTGGGGGATTTACAAGATATGTTTGACCCAGAAATGGTTATCAATTACACTGTTGTCAAGGTTATGGTCATGCAATGTGACTGATCTGTGGCAGTTCATGTTGTGCTTTTTACTCAGCAAGATGTAATTTTATAATAATCTAGTTTGCCCAAACATCCAGTGTATGCATACATGTAGCTGCCAACTATTCCTATTTTGGAGGAAATATTCCTACTTTTCGGCCCTCAGACTAATGTTATGGTATCTAGATTCCTCTCTTTTGTCAAAACTTCTGTGTAAAAAGTATACAAAAATGACTGTATTCCTAATTTTTGCCTTGAGGGATTCCTAATTTTTGTTTTGAAAGGTTGGTAGACCGTGTGCATGTATACATGTAGAGTTTCCCGTTTACTTCTGACAACAATTCAGGCTAAATTTTTTAGATGTGCGGTACATGTATATGCCCCAGTTATCAACATCCTCATTGAAAAATAAATAAATTTTGTTATTTTTGGGGTTTTGTTTACAGGGCATAGCACAATTAGCAGGTCATAATGAAGGGTCACGCTACGAGCTTCTAGAGGTCAGTGAACCTGGATCTCTGGTCATACGAGGAGAGCAGTGTCATGTGACCGAGGCCGACTGTGAGGAGCTTGCAAGGCTAAAGACACTGTAAGTCACATGTTGCCTTTCTGTACTACTTGTAGCTACTTGCTCCCTCTATATAGAAACAATGCCTAGTCGGTGACCATTGGTCCCCCATGATCCTCTTTTTCTTATGTTAATTGAGAGCTGAGTTGATGAGATAGCCACCTGTCAGTGACCTTCCTGGTGTTCTAAATCCTCCTAGCCAACTAGTACAGATGGCCTTTAAACAATCAGTAAGAAAGATATTGGGGCTTTTTTTTCCTTCTGATTAATGAGGTTACCCTGTTTGAAATAGGCAAGTGGCAACATTGAAATCTCTTTATTGACTGAATCTACTGCCATTCAATATGTAAATGTGCTTCCCCCTCCCCTGTCTATCACACAACAGTAAAAGAAGAAAAAAGTGAGGTAAAATTTAGGTCTATAATAAGTATGAAATATCTTCTTTGTAGTATAAAAAGGAATAGAACATAAACCCCATATCTGAGAAATGTACTTAGTTTCTAATTGTTTAATTAGTCATATGATACCAGGGTAGCCTCATCATTTTTGTTTCGCCTGCGTAGCAAAAAAGCGAGACATACATACATGCTTTTCCGGTGACGGCGGCGTCGGCGTCAGCATCAAAGACTTAACCAAAGGTTAAGTTTTTGAATTTTTGATATAATTTTGAAAGCATAAGTTCTTAGTCAATGAAACTTGGACTAGGTTTATCAAGTATCCCCAATCATGTGAGTAGAATTTCAGGTCACTTACTAAAGGTCAAAGGTCATTTTAGGTCAAAAGACTTGGACTATGTTGTGGCATCATCATCAAAAACTTAACCTAAGGTTAAGTTTTTGAGTTTTTGATATAATTTTGAAAGTTTAAGTTGTAAGTCAATGAAACTTAGACTAGGTTTATCAAGTATCCCCATTCATGTGAGTAGTAGTTCAGGTCACTTACTAAAGGTCAAAGGTCATTTTAGGTCAACAAACTTAGACTTTGTTGTGGCATCAACATCAAGATTTTTTTAGCATATTTTCAAAATTGATTGTTCAAAGTCCATGAAACTTAAGGGTTATCAAGTATCACAAATCATATGACATTCCAGGTCACGAGGTCAAAGGTCAGTAGACTTGGATTATGTTTTCACAACTTAATATGAGAATTAATAATTTTTAAAATTAATTTGTTCATATTTCATTCAAGTTATCGAGCGTGGTACATTTAATAGTAAATAATTCTTCTGATGATTCTTTGTAAATATTCACTTCAAAATGCTGATTATGTACAATGTACAGAGGATTTCAATTTTGGGGGCCTGCTAATGGGCCACCCTGCCTTACTGCCTATAAATAATGTCCCAACCTCAATTTTTCATCATATCGAATTGCGTAATGCAGGCGAGACCGCCGAGAGCGTTTCCCTTGTTTTGTACTGTAAGTCTCGCAAAAAAAAAGCAAAATGTTGTGTAGGTATGCTGGTGAAAAAGAAGCTTAAAGGTAAAGACCAGTTTTGGAAACGGGCCCCGGCCCTCTCAAAAAATGAAATGGAAGCTCTTATTACCAAAGAATATGTTTTGACTAATACGTGATAAAAATTTTGCTGGGAAACCGTCTACTAATTGATGATTTAGTAAATTAGTTTATCTATTGGGACCAAATAAATAATACGCACGTGTCGCGCACGTCTGCGTAGTCCTATATACATCTTTCTGTGTACAGTGCTTGTAACTTTACGAAGATTGGACCAAATTTCTTATCATTTTGATGATTCCAGAACCTTGCAGTACACACCAATACTTATATGCTAGATGATCAACCTTTTCTGATTGATTACACAACGTTTCTTTCACAATACAATCGCATGACCAGAACTGGTCTTTATCTTTAACTAAGACTAATTTCATGTTACATTGTCGTTCACATGCCCCAAGTTTCTCTTTAACTGCGTCCTAATTTGAATGTTTACAGGTACCCAGCCAGTCAGAGAGGATACATGAAAGCACTCCTCGAAGAGAGCAGAGTGACTGCGGCACACAGGCTAGCAGAGAAGAGGCTAGATTCAATCTCTCACCAACTTTATCCACGAGATGTTCACAGTCTCAGGTAACAAGTTTATGATAGTATACAGTCATACCTGCTTGAGGGACCACCTGATTAGAAAGACCACCTGTCTACAAAGACCACATTCTTTGTTTCCCTTGAAAATGGTTTCTCTTTGAAACATGTGTTAAACGAACCTGTACATAAGACCACCTGCCTACAAAGACCACTTGTCTTGTCTCCCTGTGGTGGTCTTTATAGGCAGGTTTCACTGTTCTACCAAAGGGCAAATATTCTGTAGTTGACAGGGCTCTCATTTCCCATATCTCTTTAATTGGGTTGCCACTTGCCAGCCAAGGCAAGCTCGACAGGAACTTATGTAATCAATGGCACTTGCCACTTGGGCCCCAGGTAATATCAAGCCCCGAGCTGTAAATGGAGATGGTGCACACTATGTACGTGAATGAATCCCATAACCAGGGTAAAAATAATATATCTGTAAAGTGGTTATAGATACTTTTCGTATGTAGTGCTAATAAATCCTGGGGAGTCTTTCACAAAGATCCTAAGTTGAACTTATCTATAAGTTGGACTTAACAATTATGAAAAGCCGTTAGCATCTATGAAAATCTTTTGTAAAAGTTATTTTAAATGGCATAAAATGTTGATTCAAGTTATTCATATTTTCTAGGAGATTTCATGTTCTTGATGTGGAATTTATGAAAAGTCTAAGATACTTGAATTTTCGCTTTTGAATATGATTTATTTAAGGCTACAAATGCCTCTCCATAATGTTTAAGTCCAACCTAAAGTTAGGTTTGACTTAGGATCTTTGTGAAGCACCCCCCAGATTTATTATTATTACTATCATTAGTGGATTAGTTGATAATACAGTCACACTGCTAGAATGTCATTACTGGTTTACTAAAGGAAAAATTATAAACAATTTCTCTTATTTTTTCCTTGCCAACGCTCAGTGAGAAGTTGGAGCAGTGCGAACGGCAGAAGAATGCTGCCCTCAACCAGGCCGTCCAAATCTGGGAGAGCGAGATCCCTCGTCTGCTAGAGGTCAACGCTTCTCTGCAAGCTACTCACATACTATCAGGGGACTATAATCTCAAGGTCGCAAGGCAGGACTACTTCACATCAAAACAAGAAAAGGTAGATGTACATATGAAATATGTACCCCGGTAGTCTGCTTCAGAATACTTTGGAAATTAGAATAAGTTGAAAATAAATTTTAAATTTGAATAAATTTGAGTATACATTACATCTTGAAATCCATTGTCAAAAGTGATAGATGGATATGACATTAGAACCTTGTTATGTAAAGAAGACTTATACCAAACACTCATAATTACAAGGTACTTGTAAATCTGCCATCTTCATTGTTTTCTCTTGTTTTTTTTAGCCCTGGTTGTTGTCGTTGTTGTTGTTGGGTTTGTTGGCGCTAGCCATCAATTTTGATGATTTCCACCAGGCTTAGTGTGAGAGGGTGTCTTGCTCTCACTTCTGCACCTCTACTAATATGTTTCTGTGATTCTGATACTTGCCCAGTGTGTGAGATAAAGACTTACCTTGACCTGGTCTTCCTCTATATCTATTTCCCTTCATTGCAAACTTCTAAAAATGTAAAAGTTGACAACAATTTGTCAGTGCTTGGCACATAATATTTCCTCTGCACTTGATGTAGTGTGTAGATTCACATCATTGCCACTGAAAATGTACAAGAGTGGAAATTAATGGCAAAAAAATAACATAGCTCTATAAACAAATTAAAGATGTCCAAAAAAGAAAATGCACAGAAACTGTCTCTTTATCTACACAAATGTTCTAAAACAACCTGAAAAGTAGTTAGTACTTTGATAATCATTCTCATCATCATTCCTATTTTTTGCATTGCAGCTGATTGAATTGCTGTCTGTCCAGAGAGCACGCAAGGAGTTTCTGGACATGGCCTATGAGGTGGAAGCACATCATCACAGAGCTACACACAGACTCATGACGGCATCCACCAAGCTCCTACAACAGGACCTCACCATGCATCACAGATCAATGGTGAGTAGGTAGACTGTTTAAAGCCTGTCGGCACTAGTTTGGCGAAGAGGGATTAGACCTCCCTGCATGGTCACTGACAGGTGGTTATCTCATCAAATCAGCTCTCAATTAACACTGAGCCTAGTGGGTAAGTTAGCCGGCTTAGTCACCGGCTACCCAAACATGAACTGGCAGTACAGGATTACATGATTATACCTGTAGGAAAATTACGGTTGGCAAGACTGAGCTCTGTTTAGGGCATAGCTATGATCTTCTGTATTATTAGTGGTCCTATGATCTACGCACTCAAGGGATCATCCTTATGTGGGGCTCCTGGCCGTGACAAGTTTTTGCCTCAGTCGACACCTAAGTTGAAAAAGAATTTGTCTATGCCAGAATAAGTGACACAATTATTCTTCTTTTTTTCCCCAGGGATTCCTCTCAGATCCTGACCTGAACATCAATACTGAAACAAGAAGTACAGTGGACAGCAGAGATCAAACGGTCAACAGACTACATGAGATGATTGGTATGATGTCCTCAAATACAGTCAAACCTGCTGTAGTGACCACCTGTATAGAAAGATCCTCTGTCTACAAATGAGCTGAATTACAAATGATTTTGCAATAAAAAGTGCATGAACTGAATTCATTACAAACGGCGTATTAACATAAACAAAATATTTCCTCTCATAAAAAAAATGGTAGGATTGTTACTTTAGAACAGGGAATAAGTATTAATTACAAATTAGGCTTGAAAGGGAAGTAGAAAAGAAGTTGAGTTCTGAAATACTAAATAAGTATATATAGTTAGGCTTGCGGGTGCACCATGTGAGAGAGAGAGGGAGGATTAAGGAGTCCTGAAAAGGACTCTCGGTAATCTTTCTTGACTATATAATCAAAGTACCGGTAAATGTTGTAGATCACAAAAATAGTGCAATAGGAACTACCAAAGGTATCCTATAAGTATGGAAAGCGTGCAACTGTCACTTTAAAGTTGCATGAATTTGATTTTTAAAACTTTTATGTTGGATGTGAAGGACTTGGCCCTATTTCAAGCTAACTGTCATTAAGCTATGGACGAGACTAACAACAATAACATGCAGTTTTCTGTTGAATTCCGTTCTCATCTTGCTTTGCTTTACATTTTCACCCGATCCTCACAGGCCTTGGTGGAAAGCAGGAGCAGCAGCTGTTTCTGACATACTCTGGCCTGCTGGAGGATAGCAGAGTATTTGTGAATAGACTATCGTCATTGAGAGACAACCTGCGCCTTGCTTGGGATAGCCAGGAAGGTCAACTTGCTGCCTTGTAAGTAAACTGACTCAAAGTATTTCAGGAAATTTATGTTGGAATTTTTTTTATAACCATAGTGATGATGGTGTTATTGGCATCGTGCTCTTGGCTCTATTATTATACCCTGACTATGGCAGCTGCCGTTTTGGCACTTGCAGCATTCTAGGAAATTCTCCTTGTCCATTTTTTAGACCTGTGTCAAGAGAGTCAACTTTAGATAAAATGCATGAACACTTGGCCATTTGGTGTACTGTCAAACGTGAGAGTTAGTTACAGGATATACCGTAAATCTCCCTGTATAAGACGCACCCCTATTTTTTTTTTGCAGACTCTGTAGGCAGCAAGCCGGGTCTGTGTTCAAACACCCACTCAAGGAAGGGCCTTTATTTTACTGCGAGGTGCATTTGAAGGCACCGATTTGTTCTTGTGAACTTGTCACAGATAATAGTAATATTCCAATGTTGTTTTTAAAACTAAAGATGACAGACAAATTTTCCTTTACCAAGTCCAAACAAAAAGAAAAAGAAAAAAAAAAAATTCTCCTGTCGACACCTGGATAGAATGTACCCTCCATATTTCTCTTTTAGAAGTCTCTTTTGATGATGTGAACTGGAGTGAAAAGAACTCTTGGATAAAGGTTTACTTTGCAAACTTGTCATCTCATTTCATCAAAACAAAGTTCATCAAGTACGGTACCACTGTTTTTTCTTACAGGGAGAGGAACCTGACCCAGTGCGAGAACATGGTCTACGCCGGCTCGACCACGAAGGACGGCCAGCCTGTGCTGACACCCCCTGCCATACTAGATGGAATCGCCCAACTGGAGAGGATGCTAGAGGACCTCACGCAAGGCATGATGGACCTGATGGGAGATTACAACAATAAACTGAAGGTAAGTGCATTGTGTCAAGAGTGAGTTTTGTGGTACGTCTCAGAATTTAGATTGTCTTGTGCAATCTGTATATTGGAGAACCAGTGGGACTTAATTTTGGGTTTGAATCTACAATATTATTATACTACTATCCGAGTAGCTACTACATCACCATGCCATTTCTGGTTCATGGAATAGACACGGTTTATTGAAAATGTCTCTGTTTGCTCAATTCTGACTCATTAAATTGATCACAGTACTGGGAGTTAGAGCAAGATTCTCCTATAATAAATCTCTCCCCTCGGGTACGATATCAGCCCTTAGTCCCTGTGATTGAAATTGAAGACCCAATCCAATGAAAAGAACATTTTATATTAATTAATGTAAAGCTGTATGAAGTTAGGAAACAAATATGTAAAGGAATAAAGAATATTTTCCTTTCCAGTATTACACAAAAGCAAATTAAAGCCTCATTTTCCGCCACCGTGGTGCACCCCTCCAAATTACAGGTCAACAGGGGTCAAATCTGCTGGAGATATGGTAACAACATAAAAAATGGACCCAATCGGCTTGTATAAATTAATTTAACTAATTAACATAAACGAGCTATGCTTTATTAATGCAAAGTCAAAATAAGATGATGTCATCAAGTCAATAGCTAGTTTTTAAGTAGACAAATTCTGATTTTCAAAGCTTGAGATTTCGAGTTTTCAGAAAGCTGTACTCCTCTGACACACTAATGACAGACACTAAAATAGCATATAATAATGAGATTGTAATCTTTGTCTTATAAGCTTTCAGTTGATGTATAATTTCATCGATTTCATTTTTCAATTCGGACAGGGTCTGTAAAGATATAGATCCCTTGTTTGCCTACACACAAGCATATCATTGTATTCCCAGCAGAAAGGTGCAAATGGATGCACTGCCTTTATTCAAACCCTTCTTTCCCTCTCATTCCTCTCTTTCTCTCTCTCTCTTTCTCACACACAGACCCTGAAGAGTGATCCCTTGTTGTCTGAACAGCGCCAGCTCTTTGTCTACTTCTTCACCGAACCGGTTCAGCTGAAGAGACAGCTCCAGTCACTCTCTCAGCAACTACAGGCTTTGACAATCTCCTAAAGCCTCGTTCAGACCAGACGCAGTGAATGATTTTTCTTGTTGTCTGAGCAGCGCCAGCTCTTTGTCTACTTCTTCACTGAACCGGTTCAGCTGAAGAGACAGCTCCAGTCACTCTCTCAGCAGCTACAAGCTTTGACAATCTCCTAAAGCCTCGTTCAGACCCGACGCAGTGAACGATCTTTTTGTTGTCTGAGCAGCGCCAGCTCTTTGTCTACTTCTTCACCGAGCCGGTTCAGCTGAAGAGACAGCTCCAGTCACTCTCTCAGCAACTACAAGCTTTGACAATCTCCTAATGCCTCGTTCAGACCCGACACATTGAACAACTTTTTTTGCTGTCTGAACAGCATCAGCTCTTTGTCTACTTCTTCACCGAACCTGTTCAGCTGAAGAGACAGCTCCAGTCACTCTCTCAGCAACTACAGGCTTTGACAATATCCTAATGCCTCGTTCAGACCAGACGCAGTGAACGATTTTTCTTGTTGTCTGAGCAGCGTCAGCTTTGTCTACTTCTTCACCGAACCTGTTCACCTAAAGAGACAGCTCCAGTCACTCTCTCAGCAACTACAGGCTTTGACAATCTCCTAAAGCCTCATTCTGACCCAACACAGTAAACCATTTGGTGAATGTTATTGGGGATAAACAGACATAGCAGAAATAATGGCCTCATTAATCTACATGTACATAGCCGCCAACAATTCCTATTTTGGAGAAACTATTCTTTTTGGGGGCCTTCAAGCTATGGTTTTGAACCCTAGATTCCTCTGATTTTCTGAAATACTCTATGAGAAAAGTATACAAAATGGACTGACTGTATTTCTAATTTTGCCTTGAGAGACTCCTAGTTTCTTGCTTTGAAAGGTTAATTGGCAGGTATGAGAAGGCAGTGTTTAGGGGAGTAAACAGAAGTAGGGGAAATAATAGCCCCATGGTAAGTCATGAATCTGTGGTTTGTAAACTGCATAAAAATGAAGCACACTGTCCTCATCTTATTAATCTTGCAGCAGCTATGTTTTGGAGATCATTGCCTTGTGTCCAAGTTGCTGGCAACCCCCTGCAGGTAACATGGACCACATTATAATTAGGACTATACATTATACCGTTTTACAAACTATGAAAGTAGTGCTTATAGATGTTGCCAGATTTCTTATCATATACAGTGTTTATTTGTGTAATGCATCACATATTGCTTGCCCTATAAACAAGGCCATACTGCGTGTAGAATCCTATTCTTTCATATTGTACAAAAATCAGACCTACCCTGGAAACATCTAAAGGGAATTAAAGTGTAAGGTGTTCCAATTGATTAGCAGATTCTATTTCGTGATATTAAAAATGACATGGCCTTATTCTGAGAAATTAATGAGTAAAACAAATTCTATGCTCATGCTATACAGTGCCTTCTTCGTAAAAATGATAGGATTATGTACAAGCCTTAGAAAATGAAACGGGACTCACAGTTACCGTAAATAATCGACACCTGCTATTTATTAGACAAAATTCTCTGCCATTTTAATTAGCCCCAATGAAAGTGAACCCTGGTTTGTGTCGCATGCTCTAAGAGACTGCATGAGATAATGTGATAAAGATGATGGGATTTTGAAGGAGACTACATTTGGTATTCTCTTATATTTTCTAGTTTAAAAATGGTATTTACCAAAAAGACATAACTCATGAAACTCATTGATATGGCCAAATAATTCCATAGGTAGGCTGTATATCTCAAGTGAATTTTGGAACCAGGCATCTCTTTGATGCCTCCTCATTATTAATGGCAACACCAACTGAATGCAATTACTTTTGCTTTTAGAATTTAGACTATAACTTCCATGTCAATATGTATTTCAAACTATGTACACAAGCCTATCAGTTACAGTACAAATTTTTTTTGTTTTGTTATTAGAGCCCCAATCATCCCCATTCCTTGTCAGTCTACCTGTTATAATTTCCTGAATTTCATGCAGTCAGATGGTGTAGCAGCAGAAGAGGTAATTTCAAGGGGAAAAGTCATATAAAATCATGCTTATTTCTGTAAATAAATGAAACAAATGCAGTGTAAATAAAAATATATTAACATGTATAGACATTCTGAATCTTTTGTTTCATTTTGCATTTCTTTCAAATCTTACATTAGGCCTACATTAAAAAAAAAAAAAAAATCATTACTAATATGAGACAATCGCTCTTTCTGAATGGTTCTGGAGATAACATGAGAACAAGATTATGAAATGACACATACATCTGTAACATAAATACACCATAAACTAGGGACTTGTTTTCATATATGACACTTTATTTCATAATCACAGCTTCGACATCGGGGTCAATATTCATCATATCTATATATATATTTATATGTATGCGTTAAATCTATCAACAACTGACTTCAATTCCATGACTTTACATATATCAACAATATTAGAACTAGAGGTGCAAGATCTCCCCTCCTGAGAATTCCTCTTAGGTTTTGTTTCTTTTTCTTAATTCTGGCATCTACAAAACCACCTTGAAACTCTAGCTGAAATGGAAGTGCAAAGTAGATGTATTTCAGGTGAAACTGTGATCACTTAACAATTATTGTTAAACCCCATCCATGCCATATGCAAATCTTGTGAAATATTGTTGAAAATAACTTTACACTTGTCTTTAAATAACCTTCTTTTTTCAAAGAATTTTTCGAGATATTAAAAGCTAAGATTAGTATAAACCTAATGACACACAAGAGGTTAATAATTCTTTCACCTCGCAAAAATCGTCTTAAATGACTGCATTTTCTTACACATATCCATTTTCATAGAATGTAGGTAATGCATTGTACATGTTCAGGAAAAGGGCTCTGCAAACATCAAATAGCGGGGGCAATAACTGGTGAAAGGTCCATCAAATTCAACTTTTACCAGGATTCTTCCGACGAGGATGAAAGGGAAACATATTCACCTGCTACAATACATGTATTCAACATAATCGGATCATTTCCAATTAGCTCTCTTGTTTTTGAAGCTGGTACAACATTTTGATGTCACGAGCCCTTCACAATGAAGATTTGAACATACACAAAATCTTATATGTAGAGGTGGACAGTCAATAAGCTTCTGTTGATAAATGTATATTCATAATCACTAACTCTCACATATGATCAATGTATAGCAGTTCGAACACAAACCTGCGATTGCAAAATGAACATGAAAGAGTAAGTTGAATTAATAATATCGTTAATATCAACTAAATGTATACATTTCATTATAACTTGAATGTTTGTAGGTTTGAATAATCAAAATTCAAGTCATAATTATTGATAAATGTAAATGTTAGCGTTTTTATTAATGTTAGTTCATTGTTAATGTCTGTGACATTGTAACTCTCACCAAAACTGTTGCCCTTACAATGAATTACTACGAGATCGAATGATTTAGATAACCTCAATCAACATGTGCATGAAATAAAAAAACCCATAATGTTAAAATGAGGACATTTGGTAAGCAAATTGCATCATTCTAAAACAAATACTTGTACTGTTACAAAATTGCAAAATTTCTAAGTCCATATTACAACTAAAAAAAACATATGGATACGGATAAGTAACAACCATAATCATTTGGTAAACTACACTACAATAAGTTATGCTTTTAAAATGTTGCAATGTTCATGTACGTGTCATTGTGGTTCCATAGGTTCTCTGTTGGTACAAAAGATTTAAATAAATACCAGCATTTACGCTGGCACAATAACATACTTTCTTCAGAGACATCAGACGATAATACAAATCTCTCTTAGAGTAGATATAAGCATAAATAATTTCCAGTGTCACACATATTTCGGGAATGAAATTCACAAAAGCTGGTAAATAGAATGTACGATTGAAAATACTATTTGTTTATACATTTTTTCCCTCACATACTTGAAACAATCCTCCAAAAGGTTAAATCTCTCTCTCTCTCTCATATTAATACACTTTGCACGTACATGCAGCATTCACCTGAACACATGTAATACAACTTTACTTCCTTTATGTTGTTTTTGATATCATATGCAATAAAAAAAAAGTTTCCAGTCATTCAGCAAAAATCCATATTATTATTTCATAAAAATCAATTCTAAATAGTACTAATATACATACAAATAAACTACCCACATACTCTTTCAAAATCAATGATGGTTATTTTGTAGGCAAGAGATACATGTATACTTTCTGCACATGTCAATATACATGTATCAAACCTTTACAAAAGAAAAAAAGAAACTGGAATGTGACTGAACGGAATCGCATGAATGATTTTCCTTTCAAGACTCGTTCTGATATAATGCGGTGAACGTCTTTTTTTAACGTGTAGATGAATGGCAACTGCGCTCAACACAGGTCCTGTGCGTATTCATTGAGCTCTGTGTAACAAGATACAGAAACGTGAGGAGTATTACACTTTTCGTCATAAAAACACACTGCAGTTTTGCTGTATCATGTCTGAACAAGCTTTATTCTGTACTGCATGTGAAGCATGGAAACTTAAACAGGCTAAGTACAAGGGTTTAGCTACATGGAAGTTAATTTTATGATTGTTTCGAAAAGAGTTTGAATACTTTGTATTTCGCAACCATCAAAATTATTGATTGAATGTTAGACGTCACAATATCAATAAATGAGTATATTATAAATAACTGATAATGATAATTATGCAAATACAAGCTAAATTTAGAACTTGGAGTAATTGGCATATACTGCAGGGTTGGGGGTAGGAGGGTTTAAGCTTAAATGTTTAATATTCCACAAAAACATAATTAAGGATCAGCACTTTAGCACAAAACATTGCTGAATATGAGAAATGAGATTAATATGTTTGGGTCAAATATAAGGGCTACAATCCACAGGTAATATTCACTTCTCCAATACTGTTATGCTAAACAACTGCACCACTTTTTATTTTCAGACAAAACATATCTCAACCAAGTTTAAAACAATTAAAACAATCCAATCAATAAACTGCAAACTGCTGAAAAGTCATGTGTACTTACAGCTAATCCTTAACCATTCATATCATATCGTATACCCAACACATTGCATTATGCCTAGTCACAGACTTTTAATAGGGGATATATTTCCTGGGGAATTCATATTTAACCATTCATTTTCAAAGAGGGGACAAAACCATCACTGAACCAATGTTCTCATACATAATCAACCCAACTGAATTAAAAATGATGTTAAAATTCAATCTTAAAAGTTAATGTAACTAAAACACTGAATATCAATTACATGTATTTGTCGATAAATAAGATAACTGATTATTGCATAAATTAGACACAATTTTACTCATTCACAAGGCCACTGAGCACAAACGTACGTGGGTAGAGTTGGATATAGTGACTATCAAAAATGATTCAAAAAGATTGTAGGAAATAACCAAGGAACTGACAGGAATGCAAGAAAATACTGGACTTCTATGATTATAAAAGGAAATGCAAATGATGTCTTTTTAAATAGGGGCACAGAATTCAAGATAAAAACAAGCTTGATGATGATCTGGACCTGATCTCTCTCTCTCTCTCTCTCTCTCTCTCTCTCTCTCTCTCTCTCTCTCTTTCTTTATGTAGGTGCCATATCTGTAAACTATGGTGATCATGTTGATCCACAACAATGTTTTAGACGACCTTCATCAACATTACTTACTGGTCTCTTACTCCTCTCCACTTCTGCAGGATTTCCATCCAGAGTAGGCTTCTCCTTCCTCTACTCTTCTTTCCCTTTATCTTTCCTACATGTGTCTTTGGCACACCAAGTGCCCTGTCTGTCCACTCCTTCGCCCATTCCAGCTCTTCTCAAAGACCAAATCATTCGAAAACTTTTCATAAAACCCTTTTCAAAAAGTCCAACCAGAGATATCTCTAAGACTTGCATCTTCACTCTCCAGAGAGAAGTCTGCACTGCATTGAATGGTGTCATCAATAATCACAAATCTTGGTTCTTGCACCTAGAGTAAAGCCAGTGCTTGGGCAAGCAGTACCATGAGGGGTGAACTATTGCAATAGCCGCTCATGCATACATAAGAACCTTACGGTTGTACTGTAGAACAGGTCCAACGATGGAGTCACATTGCCTATAGGGGGGGGGGGGGGTCACTCTCTCTCTCTGTGAATAAGATTGAGACCAAAAATGAACAGCAATATTCTAGCATTACATAGCTGCTTGTACATATACTACTCAAAATATCAGCAACAAAATCACAAGTGCTTACCCGAAATTAGTCTAAATCAACTATCACGTCTATTCAAATCATAGCCAAAAGCGATGACTATTTGAAAATAGTACTAATCCTATGTCTTCAACGTTAAAGGGAAAGTTGAGTTCTGTTGCAGAGGGCGCTACAAAAATAATTTGTTTGTGAGATAATGAAAAACTGAGTGTCAAATTTGAAAAAACATCATATTTAAATGACAAAATCATCTTTGTTTGATCAAAATCGGTTCAGAGATGGCTAAAATATAACGATTTCTAATACTTGTGTACCACCACAAATATTAGGTATTTTGAAAAATTTGAAAAAAAACGTTAAAAATATGATTAAAGTTTACGTCGTATTTCAGCCAATGCCGATGTTGGCTTTTTTGTTGGCATTTTCGTGTTGCTTATATTACGCGCAACCAGCCGGCCCATGTATTGTTATTTTTAATTAAATAATTAATTAACGGTCACCATGTTTTTTTAAAGTGGAGCTGAATTGGTATGCTCGTATTGGCTAAATTTCACACATTTTGGTGTCTAAAATTACCTTCATAGCAATTTTAGGTTCTAAAAGGGTACTAGAAATGTCATAGATAAGAATAAGAGCAATAATCATGCACTTTGAAGGCATTTGCGGTCTGAAAACAGAACTCAGCTATCTCTTTCATCTTATTATTACAAACAAATACAAAATAATTTCAGCTTGAATAACTTGAAACATATTTCACTTCCATTTTGATGATATATTAATATGGTTCTGAGAGAGATGATCACACACATTATTAAACCCTAATGTACGTGGATTTACATGACTTTACAACCTCACCAGTCTACGGAAATCCCCAACTACCACCCCTGAAGCCCCACGAAGGCATGACAAGGGGAAACGCCTCAAAAAACATTGCGATGGCAACATTTCATGAACAGAGACTTTTTTTATGGACAAAGCTGAAGGTTCTAAAGTCCAACGGTTCTTGAGACTACAGGTTTTGGTCTTTGGGATCTGGCAGGTTGGTAGTTCTTGAGACAGAAGGTCAAGGAGACTGTAGATTTGCAAGAAAGAAGTTTCTGATCTTGAGGACCTTCTGACAACACGTCTGAAGGTTCAGAAGACCAACAGTTCTCAAGAACAAAGGTCCATGCGACCACATGTTTTGGTCTTTTGAACCTTCTGGCAAATCCATAGATTCAGGATGATACCCGTTAATGAGATTGACATTTCAGTCACAAAACCAAAGGTTTAGGTTTAAAGGACAGAGGGTCTACTGGGTTTTGCGCAGATCTGAGCCCCATCTTACAAATCAATCGCAAGTCCTCCAATCAATCGCAATTTTGCAGTCTCCTATCTCTTATGTACATAGTTGCGATTGATATCTCTCTCAAACAATTTGCGATTGATATCAACTCTTTGTAAGACGGGGACCTGAAGAGTCCAATGAATGGTGTTACTCCACATCCTCTCATAGTCCACCCCACTCCACAGACGAAATATAAAAACCTAATGGCAGTTAAATCAAGGGGGCCTTAATACCGATGGAACATCCCTTAGAAGAGAGCTTGTGCACCGGATTCTTCAAAGGCTGACCATGCGTCACTGAGTTCCATGAAGATCAGCTTGGCAAGCTCCTCGTTTGGTGTTCCCACCTGCTTGTCGGGGTGGGCAGAGAGCACCGCCTTCCTGTACCACTTCTTCACCTACAAACAAACAAAGAATACGGTCACGGTTTTAAAGACTTTCATTTTTTGGGGGAGTGTTTCACAAATCTAAGATCGACTTCAAGTTGGACTTAACTAGGCAGGCCGTTCATGCCACTAGTTCCTCTAACCATCCCTAGCATTGGTTTCTCAAGGGACGTACAAATCAACCTGACATGGTGGCTCAGTGGTTAGAGGGCCCGCCTCATGAACGGGAGGTCGTCATACCAAAGACTTATAACAATGGGACCTTCTGCCTTCTAGCTAGGCGCTCAGCATATTAGATTGGAGAAGGGTAGTAATAACATATTATGTTATGCAGGGCCCGCTGGAAGAGCAGTTTCATAACTGAAGTGGCTACCCTGGGTAAATAAAACATTATTATTATTATTATTATTATTATGGTCACAAATCTACAGAATTTACATTTTTTGATAATATATTATCCAGTGGCATGAATGGCCTGCCATAGTTCAACTTAAATAGTCCAACTTAAAGTCGACCTTAGTCTTTGTGAAACGATTCCAAGATGTATTTGTCTTGACTTTTAATAAAAATGAATGAAATGAAACTAACAATAACTTAATATTTCACAATTAATATAAAATCAAATGCCAATACAATATACCAACACCACAAGTAGAAACAACACACAAAAATAACAAACATTTTATACATCCTACCCTTTTAAAGAAAGGGGGTATTCAAACATGCCTAGCATTGGAATTGAAGTATAAAAGTAAAATGGATTACACTTTTTTGTGTGCACAAGTCTGTAAATTGCTTGAAAATGTTGATAGTGTCAAGATTATGAACTGTAAATTGCAGGATTGGAAGTGAATAGAGATTGATATATATGATAATCAGTACACCATAGAGCAGTTCAATCAGTGAATTCACTTTTGAGTGTTGGTTTGGTTGAGTTGGAATGCCTTGTAAACTGGTGACTGGCTACAAATGGAGTGAAAAAAGTGCAGAATCATAATTTCATTGCAGTTAATTGTAACTAGATATAAAGGGGCTCTGTAAAACAACACTTGTCTTCATTATTGTTATAAAAAATTCATCATTCAAGCTTGATAGTCTACCTGATTGTGCTCTACGAGTTGATGCATGCCGACAGGCTTCCATCTGTCCTCTCCATCCCATAATACTTGGTGCATGGAGCAGATCAGAGCCCGGATGTTATTCTCCTTGCCTTGTGTCCAGTCTCTCACCTGAGGTCAAGAGTCAAACATCGTAATGACAGAGTAGTCAATTTTCCCACACAAACACGAAACATAAATATCAGTGACAGGAACGCTTTTGAATATTCATGAATGACAAAAGCGTGAATACTCAACATGCATATTCATAATATAGGAAGCTTTCTGGGCATGATTCGATCATACAAAATCATTTGAACCTAGAAGAACACTATTGTAGTTGTTGTTCTTTTAATCCCGCAAAGATACCAGCTACAAACAATCTAAGATCCCACACCTCGTGAAGAATATCAATAACATTTCAGCATATTTTCCAAATCCACAATTACAACATTTCTGAAAAAAGCTTGGTAACAGGAGTGTTACCGGTGTGTTGGCTCAGTCAGTAGAGCGTCCGCCTCACAACCGGGAGGTCGTGGGTTCGAACCTCGGCCGCGTCATACCAAAAGACGTTAAAAGACGGGAGTTGCTGCTACCTTGTTTGCCGTTCAACAATAAGGGATAGAGCAACGTCGATCTGGCGCTACTCAGTGGCTGCCGGGCTCACGATCAATTGGGCAAAAAGAATTTCCATTTTCGGTTTAACTTAATAAAATTTGGAGTGGACTTATTATTATTATTATTATTTATTATTTATATAAGCTTGTGACAAAATTGGTGTCCTACTACCAATGTTCTGCAGGAGAGTTTTCAGTTAAGCTCTGGTAAATGTGTACCATTAGGCTACTTATCATGTGCTAATACAACATACAATAATATAATTAATTCTGTAATCCATTGCGCAATTTAGTTTTTAGCTACGAAGCATGGAATTAATGAACATTTATTGTTTACATGTTTGATTTGATTTGAATAAACCATTTATCTATCTATCTATCTAACATTCCATACATGCCAACATTTGAAAATCAGAAATCTGTACAAATTAAGCTATTTTCAAAAAAAAGAGGAACAATCCTAACTCTCCTATTCAATACTACAGACAAATTTGTACAGGAAGAGGAACACCTGCATTAAAATGATAATTATCTTCTCCCAAAAAGAGGAATGTTCCTCTTTAATCTGAACGGTTGGCATGTATGATGTACCAGGGCCCTGTTTCATAACAGCTTGTGAGCGTCAAGTAACGCACGGCTAGAATGCTCCCCAGGGAGTGGAGATTGTGCACACAGTGTGTGCGGGCAAGCGCTGAATCCAATGACCGGGGTAATTAGTATATTTGTAAAGCGGTTAGAGACATTTGTATTAAGCGCTTTATCAAAATTAAATATTATTATTATTATAATAAAACTTGCTATCAATAACAAAAGCTAAATTTTTCTTGACAAGTTTGCTCTCAGCCAAGCAGATTACATGCTTTCAGTTGCTTACAACAGTTATCGTTACTTGTTATTGATGAAAAGCTTTTGAAATGGGGATCAGTGGGGTGTTTCACAAAGATTCTAAGTCAAACTTAACTCTTAGTTGGACTTAAATATTATGGAGAGCCTTATAATGATATGTATTAAAAAGCAAAAAATTCAAGTATATTAGCCTTTTCATGAACATGAAATCTCCCATGATAATAGAAAATATGAGTGATTTGAATCAACATTTTATGCCTTTTAAAATAACTGTTACAAAATATTTTTAAGGATGCTAATGGCTTTCCATTATTTTAAGTCTAACCTAGAGTTAAGTTTGACTTCGAATCTTTGTGAAACATCCCCAAGAAATTGCTAAAATATTACCTTGAGGACGTTTGGATCTGTTGTGGCTTCTATTTCTTTTCTCTTCATGTCGTTAATTGTCTTGGTTTCATGGCTCTTGGCAGAGGCCTGGAACTTCTGTTGGTCTGAGAGGAGGTTGCTGAAATCTGCCTGCTTGGCTGCTTTACTCGTCATGAATCCTGGACACACACACACAAAATCAAAGACACCACTTGCTAAGACACAACAAAATCAAAGACATGACTTGCTAAGATGCTCTACATCTATCCCACAAAGTCTATTCAAGCCTGTCACAACCACATCCCCGATGGTTATGAGCTTTGTACGCATCATTGGCTTCAATTGCTTTACTCGTAATGAATCTTGAACACACAACAAATCAAAGACATGACTTTCTAAGACGCTCTACATGTACATCTATATCTCAAGAAGTCTATTTAAAGGCATTGTTTAACAATGTTAAATCTGAAATGCATGGCCCTACGTTTTAACTGTGTCTGTGATATGATGTAATATTGACTCCCTAAAAAAATTGCGCTTCAAAATGATCATGAAGTGCCTTTAAAAAAATAGAAATCTTTGAGGGACCGGTTTTACCATACTCATTTTCCAAATAAGACTGTAGTGTAATAATAACTGTTAGAAAAACAAATTTTTAAATTTCGATTTCCAATCATAAATATCTTGATATTCAGATCGGCTTGTAAAAGTCATGGGGTTCCTGACTGACCTAAAGGTTTGTGATTATCATTGCAGCATGAGCTAAATCAAGGATTTTTTTTCAGAATCTGAGACAAAGATACCCAATCCCTTTAAGCCTGTCATAACCACATCCCAAATGGTTTGGAGCTTTGTACGTTTCATTGGCTTGCAATTGCTTTACTCGTCATGAAACTTCCACACACACAAAAAAATAAAAGACATGACTTGCTAAGACGCTCTACATCTATATCTCAAGAAGTCCATTTAAGCCTGTCCTAACGATATCCCAAATGGTTTTGAGCTTCGTACGCATCATTGGCTTGCAATTGCTTTACTCGTCATGAAACTTCCACACACAAAAAAAATAAAAGACACAACTTGCTAAGACGCTCTACATCTATATCTCAAGTTGTCCATTTAAGCCTGTCCTAAGAACATCTCAAATGGTTTTGAGCTTTGTACGCATCATTTGCTTAGCATTGCTTCATTTGTAATGAATACTGCACAAAAAACAAAGACATGGCTTGCTAAGACGCTCTACATCTATATCTCAAGAAGTCTATTTAAGACTGGTACCACATCTCAAATGGTTTGGAGTATACACAGTAGATGTTATCTTCTTAAACTCACCTCCATCTCTCTTGCCTCTTTCTTCTCTACCTCCAATGACACTACTAGATGCAAACCCGCCGGCAAAGTAGTTAGGCTTGGCCGCCTGAGCGGGAGGAGGAGGGGTTGCCGTCTTCTGAGGCATCGTCTGGCTCTGGGGCTGGAACGGTCTATGGGACGGGGACTGGGCCTGTGAGGACATCATCGGTTGTTGCCTACCCGCACCGAAACCAGGGCTCTGCCTCTGCCTCTGCGGACTGGGTTGGCCCCCTCCTCCCATCGCCGGGCTGCCTCCCATCGGCCCCCCTGCAGTGCTTTGGGGAGAGGAGAAGTTTCCAAAGTTGGCGAAAGGATCCACCTTGGCAGGAGGTGGGGTAGGGCGAGTGCTGGAGTGCTGGGGAGTTCTGTTGGAGCCAGACTGCATGGGAGTGGATCGGGGACCACCTTGGTTCCAGCCTGCCATTAGGTCTGGTCCACTGTTGCTCTGCAGAGAAAAAGAGAACAAGTGAAAGAATGTATCAAACAAAGAATGGAAAGAGCAAATATAAACAAGACATATCTCTACAGTTTGAAGAACTAACCATCAAGAAGTGAATTGACTATTGACGGATAAAGTACCAAAGAATATTTGGGAAACCAGTTGACAATGTTTTAAATCTAATCATCATAACCAGAACAACTAGGGAGTTCAACTCCTGTGCATTAAATCATATAGCAAGCATCTCGGGTGCCTGAGTTTGCAGACACCAGCACGATACAAAAACATCATCATTCAATGCAATGTGTCTGAAAAGACAAACCTGTTTCAGAGTAGGGCCACCATTTTGACTGAAGCTGCCCAAGTCACCGAGGAGGTTGTCACTGCTATGCGTCTGCCTTGTCATGCCTCCCTGTGGAGCACTCAGGTTACTCGTCGAAGCGGGTGTCGGCGAAGGAGTTGACCTTGGCTGTGCCCCGAACGGATCAAATAAGGGCTTGCTGGCGCTGGCAGGAGATGACTGACTGCTAGTCCCAGACATACTGGGGGAGGACTGGCCAAAAGATGCAAACGGGTCAAACAAATTGTTCTTTGCCCCCGCACTGCTTGGTTTGCTCTCCTGCTTGGGTGTGGCCTTTGGTGTTCCTTGTTGACTGGTCGGCTGCGAAGCAAACGGATCAAACTTGACATTGTCAAATGGCTTCTCTTGGGCTTTGGTTTGCTTTGGCGCGGAGGGTTGAGATGGTTTGGCTTGCATGAATGGATCAAAAGTATCTTTCGACTGGCCATTTCCAGCGGGAGACGTCCCCATGTTCAGTTCAGCGGTTGAGTCAACTAGTAAATCAAAATTGGTAGGGTCCCTTGGAGGTGGGGCCATGAGATCAGGCTCCGCTGCTGGCTGGGATGCAGGTGTGCTCTCACCACCTATGTTCAATAGATCGGTCGTTTGTTCCGATTGTGACATTGCGGAAGAGAAATCGGCGAAGAGATCCTCTTGGTTGGTACTGCTCTGAGATGTTTCATTGATATCTGACTGAAAGAAGTTAGCGTCATTACCACTTCCTTGTCCCTGACTCTGCTGACTTTGGCTAACCGTACTGTTCTGGCTCATCTCACTCAACCGTTGCGCTTGAAAACTGTTGAAGTCGTCATCATCACTATCATCGTCATCGTCAATCAGGGTCTCGTGTTCCTGGGTTGGGAGCCTCACGTGGCCTTCCGTCTGTGGAGGACCACCCTCTTGCCAATCCAACGTCTGAAAGAAGGGCTTCTTGGCCTCTGCAGGGGCTTCTCTGGGTGCAGCTGGCTTTGGAGGAGGGGTTGTCTGCCGAGGAGCGGTGGGTTTACTCTCTGAAGGTTGCTGCTCTGATCGTTCCTTCTCTAACCTTCTCTGTGCCTTCGCATCCATCTGACCTGCATTAGCAACAAGAAGACAGTGTCAGGACCAACTGTCAGAAACCTCATCTCATATATTTATTCAAATCAAAACATATATTCAACCACAACTAGAATTTTAACAATTGTTGTATTTATATTCGATAGAGACAGAAAAAGGGAATGATATAAAGACTGAGGTACACTTAAATGAAGGGGGGAGGGGAGGAACAATGTACAGGTTATCACATGAAATGCAAAAATCAACAATTAATTTAAATGAATAGATAGGAAAAGGAAAATTTGAAGAGAGAAAAGAGGAATAGGATACTCAACAGAAATCACATAACAAACGACAAACATAAGTAAACAAGAAAAAGGAAAATTTAAATTTCTTCCATCAAAAAGTACTGTAAGCAAACTCACTGCATTAATTTTGAAACAGAACAATCCATTCACATCAGCCATTAGAAGAAATAAACTAATAACCAGCAAAAATAACTAAAATCACATCGAGTTCTTTCACATGTGTAAAAAGAAAACATTTGTGACATGAATGTGAGCCTCGTATCTGTCCATAATGTTTAACTAGTCACATCATGGTCTTCAGAAGGCATAAACATTTGATATTGGGACATGTGAAAAACCCAGGACAACACTGATCTTGTTGTTCTAAGCTCCACCATCCCTTACATAATACACCAATAGGACATCACCAAAATCGTGATGACTGTGTAAGAATGCCTCCAAAATAACTGGCTTAAGTCTGCTAGGGAGCTGTCTCAAACTCAGGTTAAAATACTTAGCCAAAAGCATCAATAGAGTACCGAGCTTGGTTAAGTAATTCACCTAAGTTGAAAACCAAATAAAATACTCTGAACATTTCTGAATTGAATCCTGACTTGGGCGTCTTACCAAACTGGGCGGTCACACTGTCCCACTCCTCCTGGCCAGAGAAGCAGTACTTGGGGGTCAGTCGCTTGGTCTCGAACGTGGTCCAGGGGGGAGGTTTCTGGGACGGTCTATCCTTCTCCGACACCACCACATCCAGACTGGCATGGAAGTGCTCGGCAAACTTGTCCAGTTCAAAGAAGTCCAGCTCGTACCTGGTGATTATACAGAGAGGAAGAAAAACAAAGGTCCAATGTTGAGTTCTGGTCATGCAGTGTGGAATCGATCAGAGAAAGTTGATCATGTAGAATATAAGTATTGGTGTGTACTGCAAGGTTCTGGAATCATCAAAATGATAAGAAATTTGGCCCACTCTTGGTAAAGTTACAAGCACTGTACACAGAAAGTTGTATATGGGACTACACTAATATGTGGCATAAAAATCAGCCCTCATTTTTAAGATGTTACTTGTCATATTTAGAATATGAAAGCATTTGAAGAGCCATGCTTTTCAGGGAACATTTTTTATCTGATGTTCTTCCACACTTGCATAATAACAATAATAACGCTCACAAATCATTGTTCACCTCTCCCCAGAACTCAACCTTCTGTTTAAGACCACTTGCCTCTTACTAAAACAACTATTTTCCTATATTTTCTCTATGGCAAGCTTAATACGCAGAGTTGACGGTAAGAAGCAATCTGCCGATTTTCAAATATAGCAACCATGATGTCATAGTCATGAGGACATTCCTTTTTTACCTATGTGACCTTTGTAAATGCATGTCCATCACAAATATACATCCAATTTTCGTTGGTGGTGATCACACAAAGTACAGGTGACATTAGCAACAGATTAGGTACAGGTACTTCAGTAGTGTACAACGTTGGCAGGATCACAATAAAGAAAGGACTTACCTATTGAAAGAGATCTCTTTGGTTCCTGGTTCTATAAATCCAGTATTGAACTGAAACTGGAACATTTTCAGACCGGTCACCTGAAGTAAGACAACAAATAAAGTATGACATCAAGATGGTATATCAAACAGTAATACGAGGGTGTTCATTGTACATAGACAGTGACAAGGCCTCTCAATTCATACTAATTAGGTGCTCCACTGGCACTGCAATCACCATCTATTCTTAAATATCAGCTAAGGCAAAGCAGCAGAGATGCCAACCTCTTGACATGAAAAACAAGACTGAATAGCAGAAAACTCAACACTATAACTGGCCTGTTGGCCCTGGGCCGGTAAAATTTCAGAAAAATGTTTTACTGGTAAGAACGGTCAAGTAAAATGTTTGCTTTTTCATTAACATCTAATGAGAAAACTGTAAAGCAGAGGTTTTTTTCGGGGTTGCAAGGTTTACTTGTACATGTTTCTATGCAATTCTGCATTTTTAATGGTTTTTTTAATCTTTTTTTTTTTCATTTCAAGAGGGGATATCATATCATCCTATTTCACTCTTATTATTATCATACTAAATACAATAAAATCATACTGGTTGGCATCTCTGAAGCAGGGAACATTTGTTATTTTGTTACCTCTGCATTAGGAAAGAGACCCCTACAGTACTTGAAAGTTAACAGGGAATTACAGACATACAAAAGGATACAATTTGCGGTACCAACAAGCTGGCAATGGTAAAAAGCTTTACTGATTGCATTCATAGTCTGCAAAGATGGACAATGCATGCAGTATCAGTGGTGTACCATAGCAGCAAGAGATGGTCCAAAAGCCAAGGTACATTGTGCATATATAGTGTACCTTCATCAAGAAACAAAACAAAAGCAGTTTTTGCAGCCAGATGAAAAGTCCAGATTGATTACAAACCTTTCCTTGTACTTTTCCACCAAAGGTTGACCGGGCATGATAAACTACAACCATTACATCACCACACACAGGGATATTTAGATCGATGAAAGCACTGGCATCCTCGACCTCAAAACCCCTACAAAGGGAAGAAGATGATAAGGGCGCGGGTTATACCCTTTTGTAGTGGAATACTTTACATGACTTTGTTGCTATTTTCCATTATAAATAATGATTTGAAGGTAAATTTTAATACTCATAATCAAATTTATTTGAGAAATCCAAGAATGAAATATAAACATAAACATCCTTTAAAGGGTAACCTGGCACCAAAAAAAAAACAAAAAAAAACACAAATATCACTTTATAACTTGTTTGACTTCTCGCTTTCCCATGACCTAATTCCCAAATCAAATTAAAAGGAATTCATTTCATAACTAATAAAAAAAAAAATTAGGCAAAGTGAATCAAGAATGTTCTTATGGGGGAAGTTCAAAGAGTTATGACAAACTTGATTTTCATCGTTAAAAGATGAAAGTTTTATGTTGTAAATGACATCACATCTTCTCTCCACTCCTAAAGATATGTATCATAAAAGTAGTAAACATTGGGACTACTAGTTTGATAAGTCTATAAAAGTTTCTCAAGGAATATTGTGCCACTGTACCTCATTCTTTCATACTCTTGAGACGTGGACAGAATCCTCTCCTCGTCATGGAACACTTCACAAAATGGACGGCAACCACTCCTGTACACAACCAAAATATATCAGATGAAGTCATCATGCTTTATCAACTAAACTCTTTGGTGAAATCATCACTTTAAAGAAAGAGGGCTAAACATGTCCTGATAATAGTCAAAGTTTCGAACGAACTATTCCAAATTAATGTGGGCCAAAGGTTGATTTGCACTTTAAATATGCAAGAGTGAAATATTCTCATACACAGTCTGGCTCAAAATGGACAACTTGCTAATTTTCCCTTCTCAACAATAATCATTATTATAATCACTATTTGTGTCTTGTTCCTTTTAGTTTCTGTTTATATTGATCGATTTCGGCTTTTTGATTCATTCTTGCGTTTTACTCTGATGAGTGCAAGACGAAAAAGCTTTAGTATAGCTCTTTTCAACACTATTTTCTGATTTTGTAGTACCAATCATCTTTTCAGTTACATTTATATAGCGCATTACATAATACATTTCAGTGGGCTTTACATTAGATACAATAATATGTATATATGAAGTAATATTATACATATGTAAAATTACTTGAAATCAATTCTACAATACTAAATTACTTTACAAAGAATGACATTACAATTACAATATACTACATTATATCATATAATATGGCCACAAGTACAGTTAGGAACGATACAGGAGAAAATATGTGCCTTTAATCTACCGGTACTCTTAAATGAATCAATGAACAGTGCATCATGGACATCAATAGGGCAATTGTTTTGTTGACATTAGCAACAGGCTCTTTATTCAAAATATCCTTAACCGAATTTCAGTTAGAATAGTTAAATATATTTTCATTGTTTCTTGTTGGTGTTAACTCCTTTCAACAGACTTGAAGAATATCTAACAGACTCCTTGAGATATGTGTGTACAGAATGATATCAGCCAAACAATTTGACAGTCTGGGGATTCAATAATTCCAAGCAAACAATGAGATTGGAAGAAGGAACTATAATTCTCACCTCATCTTATTGTAGAGTGGTACTGGAGTTAATCTCAGGCTTTTAATGAGTAGTACTCTCTGATGGGGCATGATGGAGGCTGTAGGAGATAGCATGCCACTGATATACTCCATGTACCTGGGGGGAGAGCATAGAATTGGTGTTAGGTATTCATCAACTGGTATTAGGTCATTTGCACATGCTGGACCTTACCTATGGAATCAATTGCCACAAGACATATGTTATATTTCAAATGTAGATTGCTTTAAACATGCCCTCAAAACTCATTTGTTCAAAGTGGCTTTCCAGTAGATTTACTTTCACATTGTTGTTATTCATTTTTTGTGGTGCGCATTTTTGTGTACTTTTTGTTTTTCTTCTCCATTGAGCCTCAAACACATTAGTCGTGTGGAGTTGGCACATTAGAAATACTCTATATTATCATTATTATTACATGTACATTTTGTAATTTGTAAAAATGTTTCTTGCTGGGAAAATCTGTTGTTGTTTTCTCTCCACATAAAATTGCCTAGTAATAAAGAACCTACCTTTTCTGAGACTGTGTTATCCCAGGAGGCCCTCGCTTGACGGAGAACATGTAGAGGCTGACATCAACGGTACTGAAGAGACGACAAAACGTCAGGAAGGAAGAGACTATCGTAGCTGAAGATGCCTTGCCATCCTGCCAAAACAAAATCAGATTAAATCATTCAAATACATGTTAACTTGTATACATTGATGACAGCGCTATTGTCGCCTGAACACATGAGGTACCAGCCATGCATTTGTGTGATCTAACACAGCGTTTGCCTTTCGACAAATGATATGTATCATTTATTTAAAGATTTGAGATTGAAATAGAGCATTTAGAAATTTAAGTCATTGATCCTTAGAATCGAAAGCAGCGTGAAATGCTGACGTGAACCGTGTTCTACAAGGAAAGGCCATAGATCCAAATCAAATGATTCTCAACTTGATTTTCCTACCACCCATAACAACTCTCTATATCCTGTATAAAATAGCTAGGCAATCAGATGTATGCGATAGATTGGGAGAACTCGACATCAATTTGGATTTGTAGCGACTCTTCGTGACGACAGGGTCACAGTATCATTTCAGAAATGCACTTGAAATATCTGAGGCAAACAAATCAAGACAATTACTGCTTACGAAAAATAACTTTGTGTCTTCCTACTATGTCTTTGCATAGACTTTGAAACAACACTGTTTGAAATCTACAAAATTGTAAACCTCTTATTGATAAAAGTAGAAAAAAGACAATCTAGTGCTACCGATACATGATAGTCCTGGCAAATAGTTTTTTCAGTGAGAAACATATTTCAGTAATTGAAGGGAAATAAAATGTGATCTATATTTTAAGGTGGTCTTTCTATTGAAGTGGTAACCAATAGACCAGTTCACGGTTAGCACATATCCCAAATAACCATGAATATCCACAGATCTTCAAAACATGAAGAGGTCCCACTTTGTACATTTTGAAATAATCACTCCTACATCGATGGATGTGCTACATAAATAGCCTTTGTTCCCCCTTTTCAAAGAATACTTCCATCTGTGTATCATGGAGCGCACGGCACGGCTTGTGCATAAATGAATAATGATTACATAACTTTCATGAGCACATATCCAGTATTTTTTCTCTGTGTAATTCATAATTTGGTCTGCAATGACCTTTATCTGCTCATGCTCAGACTGCAACTATGAACTGGCTTATTAGAAAGAGCTCCTGTGTGGACTACTCACCATACAGTGTATCACACACACGTTCTTGGGGTCCCTCTGCATCCATAGATACATATTCCTACACACATGATACAGGAGAACCAAGTTGGGTGGTCTTTTGGCAGGGAAGCCACAATCTGAAACCTTCAAAGCAAAAACAGAGAGGGGTCGAATTTAAACAAAACAAAGGAGACAAAAATTCAAACAGATTTCACCTCAAAATAATGTGGAGACAGGTAAATTATGACAAATGCAGGGTATGAGATAATTGTTCTTACACAATTGATAGAGAAGAACCACGTTGCATGTTCTCTTGGCTGGAAAGCCGCAACCCAAAACCATAGTTTGAAATGCAGAAGGGAGGGGTGTCGAAACAAATATTCTTACTAGTTAGCCAAAAACTTCAAACAAAAATTGTCTCTGAAAGAAAAAGTTATACAAATTTTAAAAGAGAAAAGGTGATCACATTTAAACAAATTTTTTACCCAAAACAATTATGAATATGGCAACAAGGAATTTGTATGGTAGTGGGCAATATCTAAACTTGCTTTGATAACATTCCTTTTCAGAACTTACTCTATTTTCAAACTTGGCAGGTCTGTAGGTCCTCTGCGATAGATTGAAGACGTGATAGTGCCCACTATG